CGCGGAACCACTGTTGGCTTCGTGGACGAACCGAAGGTTACGAATTATTTGTGCGGAACTTTTCCACACTTGGTAGTCGGCTTTAAGGCTTCGTAATATATCCGCGGAACCATTGCTGGTTCCCTAAACTGTAAAATGGTTTGGAATATTTTCTGGAAAATAATTGCTGGTTTCGTAGAACATTCGAGGGTTTCGTATTTTTTGAGCTGAACGGTTCCCACTTTATTATCCGTGTTAAAGTTTCGTATATTTTGTACCGAGGGTGTGGGTGTGGATGTAGCTTTGCTGATCTACTATTCACTTACACCCACACCTAGCTACACCCTCAGGATTTATTTATTTTGAACAAATCAAAGAAAAAAATAATACAGTATCAATGATTTTCATAATATTTAGCATCCGTTATTTAATAGATCAAAACGTTGTATGCGATTATTATTTCGATCAACAACATACAGATTATAGTGAATATCAAATTTCAATTGAAGTGGATAGTTAAGTTGGCTACTAGTTATTCCAGGAGTACCACTGCCTTTAACAAAGTAAAAATCTATTATGTAATTCAATGTTTTACTTTGATTTTACCTGCAATGGCACGTCCTTGCTGAGCTTGAACTGGCCACTAAACAGTTCGATGATTTCCACTATCTGCAATGTATACATTGCTACTTATATCGACTGCAACTCCTGAAGGTGAATCAAGTTGAGAGAAATTACTTCCAGAGCCGGTATCACCGGTTACTATGATTTCTTGTATTGAATTAAAATCAAATTTTAGTACTCCATTATTTAGAGAATCTACTACATAGAGCGAGCCATTTTTCTCGTCAACAGTAATTCCTAGGGGCAAATTAATGCTACCATGTTCTGAATCAGATCCTTCAATACCAATAACTGTGTTTACTGTATTATCTGTAATGTTTAATTTTAATATACGATTATTTCGAAAACCAGATAGATAAAATAATTGACGAGTTTTATCTATTGACATATAATATACAGAATCGATCTGATTTAGACTTGCACCAGCACTATAATGGCATACAATTGCAATACCATCTGGTGAACCTTCATTTGTACTTAGTGGAAAAGCAAGTATACGGTAGTTGCTAAGATCAGAGACATACAATTGATTTTTCCAAACTAAATTTAGTTTCAGACGAAATTTTAATTCAATTTGATTTACTTTAACAAAAATCGAGTAATCATCTTCTCACTTGCAAGAGCAGCTGGCTGTCTCAGTAAATTGCTCCAAGAAACTATTATGGCTTTACCAGCAATCATACGCCCTTCTGTCCCATTGACTGGCCAATAAACAACACGATTATTACCAAAGTCAGCTATAAATAAGTTACCGCTAATATTGATCAGTAGATCGTTAGGACTGTTAATATGTGATGATGAAAGAGAATTCTCCCCTACAGATGATCCAGCAACTGTAACACCTTGACTATTCCAGGTGGCATTGGCTGCACAGAGACGATCGACCCAAACTATATGTCAAATTAAAATGACATAAGTCAAATAACTACAAATCAAATCAAAAGCGAGACCTAATTGGATAATATCTTGTGTATTATTAGATCTGGTTGTAATAGTAGTATATAAAACTATTTAAAAAAATCAAGACAATTATGTAAATATTAGATATAAAAGGTGTATTGAATTATAGAAGCGAATGTTTAATAAGAGATATTATCGATTGATAATAAAAAGAACTGTATCTTAATAGTGTCTCGTAATCATATAAGAATCGTTTTCCGCGAATATAGCTCACGAAAATAAACTAAGCAAAATGTGGTCCTAATAAGATAGAATAGAATAAAGATCTCTCAATGATTAACAACAGCAGAGCATTCGTTCGGTTTCTATATTTAATGATCATGTAGAGATTCCTCGCCTACTTAAATTTTTATTCTCGAGAAAATAGAACAAAACTAAACAGAAAAGTGTCATATTTTTTAATTGAAAAAAATTTCATGACTAACTTTTTAATATTGTGGTTGTCTCAGTAAATTTGGTCGTACATTGTTCATCAGCTAGAATAAAATAATTAGTAGAAAATATGTTCTTGAAGTATTATTTTACTATTGTAAACCTTTGTTTGAACTTGAAGCCATAATAGGCAATAATATGAGACCCATGATGCATACTAAAATAGCTGAGTCTGCCATGCTAGCTAATCCAATATGACGATAATGTCTCGTCCATCAACGTAGCAAGTGATTTTTCTGAGGTGTTGCTGTTATTTGTTGATTCGCTGACTGTAGTATTCGTATGTTTAAAGATAAAATTAAAATTAAAAATTGTTCTCTTCTCTTGCTCATAGCATTTACTTGATCACTAGTTACTGTTAGTTCAAGCATAGTAAAAATTGAATATTTATCTAGAAAAAATAGGATTAAAATACTTCTCGGGTTGAACAAATTCAATATTAATTTCACTACAACGACTATTTTGACTTGAAATAAAGTCCCTCGTCTACTATGTCAACAATTTGATTATATCATATCATTTAGATATTGAGATTTTGTTTTAAAAAAAGATAGAAATGTTCAACTTAATCTACACTGAGAAATCTACACGCACTATTGTCTTACTTTCATAAGAATATCATTATGTATATGATCATGTGATTTAAACTTATCTCAAATTGTATAAATAGCGCGAATACTAATATGCTAAGTAGACTCAGATTACTTTAATTGATAAAAAATCTCCAAAGAAAAATGGCTTTGTTGTTTTTATTTAGAGAAATTTTTCATTTCTCGCAACTTATTAAATTTTTCTCTCTTTATTCAAGTATACATAATATTGGTGTATGTTTTTGTCATAGCGTTCTTGTTATGAAATAGTAATGTGTTGAGAAAAGTATTCTAGTATACAGCTGAGTTATAATAAAACAGCTCCACAGGAATATGATATGTTGTTTCTCTAGGCGCTGTTGAAATATCATCTACTAACTGTATCCATAAATAGAAATACTAGTTCATGAATGTCTCATTTATTAAAGTCATTTTCCTTTCAAAATAAATTAGTTTTTTTTGTATATGAAGGCTTTTATTATTTCAGATGATTCAAGTATAGATGATTTGGATACGTAATAAACCAGATCAAATTCATCCAACAGTGAGTATTACATCAATTATGGCCAATTACATAGTTTGCTCAAAGATTATAGTTGGACTATATTCGACATACTCGTTCACAACATCGAAGACGTGTCGAAAATGAACAAGATGTCTATCAAGATAAAACCGATTGATATCGAAATTGCACTTGGTTGGATTTATAAACTATATGTCACTTTTTTCTAGGAGAGTGAGTCGTCGGTAGTATTATTATCGTTCACTATGTTTTTCCTATTGATTTTTACAACAGTTGTTCGAATATCAATGATTATAACAAGAGCAAAAAGTAAATTTCACATTTATTTGCCTGTAATGTTACATTGATAGTTCTTCTTTGTTCTAGGTAGAAGAATCAATTTGTTCCATAACATCTTATCGTGCTCGAAATTGAACTATAAATAGTAAGAAAATCAATGGCTGAGAAATATGCATTGAACTCGGCGAATTGGAATTATTAATTAAAATTTTTCTTTTTTAAAATTTTAATTCCTGCAAATCTATAGTATAGGATGCCTTTTGTTTTAACGAATTATTTTCACAAATTATAGAATAAGAAATTTACTTGGTACAATAATGGTATTGTTGTCCAAATCTCGAAAGAAAAATTTTCGAAAGACAAAATCCCGAAAAACAACTACTTCGAAAGAGGCAATCCCGAAAAAGGAATACCACAATAAACAGAATCAAGAAAAAAATGAAATTTCGAACATAAAACTGCAAACTTTTCTACATCGCATTTTAGAAAAGGGAATCATGAAACATGTCCTCTTACTCTACGATCACTTGATCAATTAAAATAGATGTTATTATGACTGTCCTGCCTTCTGTTTTCTTTTCTTTAATCTGGTCTGTGTTCACAAGCGATTCTTCTTGTTCCTCTTCTCTTTTTTGTACACCGACTGTATCGCAAAAACTACCTTCATTCATCGTGTGTCGTTCTCGTCCACCGTTTCAAAAACACCATTTTCTTGAGATTGTGGATAGGATGTGGGTATGAGAAGAAGAAGATCAACATCCTCACTGGCACTCGCATTCAGGGACGTGAATAAGGTGGAAGGGGATAACGTCCCCTACTTTTCAAAATTTTGTTATATTTGGTCAATAAGATCGGCAAACCCTGTTTCCAGGAGAATTTTAGAGATCCATCTATGCGAACGAAGACGTTACGTTCCTTCTTCTTCGAGATTTTAAAGTATTGGATAGGAGATCTACGCCCCCTGTTTTGGTGATAAAGTTAAGCCTCTGCCAACTCCCACATCCTTATCCACATGCTATGTTACACTTATAATCATGACTATCATAAACGGTCACCTATTCAACATATATTTTCTCGATATTTTAATTTTTGAAAAGTTTTATTTTCAATAACTCCTTCTTTCGAGATTTTTGATTTCTTAACAACGAGTTTTCGAAATTATTCTATTCGAGATTTGGACACAATACCCAATAATGGATATTCTTTTTTATAGCGTGCTTATTCAAATTGCGACGCTCTTAGAAGTAATAATTATTTTTATTAAAATATGGTATAATTCGATTGCTAGCTTCATATTCTATAAATGACAATATCATGCCACTATTATATCGATTCAGAAGGTGAACGTGCGTATAAAATCATATTATTTAAATCTTATGATATTCATGTTTTTTTTCTCTCTCTCTAAATTAGTGTTCAGTTTCGAGCTTTTAATTTTAAATATTGATATTCCAAGCATAATTTCAATATAATAGTATTGATGATCATATATTATTCAAAGACGTACGTTAATTTGATGTATAGCAATATTTCATAAGAAAAGAATTTCTTGAAGCGAATTCTTTTTATATACGTCAACCCATCACATGTATTTCTTTTCAGGTTCAATACGCTTGTGTACAGAAAATACAGTGTGGAATCCAAAAGGTATCACTGTAGCCGGTTTACTCAATGGGTTACCATCAACATTACTTGAAGGTTTACAATGTCCAAAGGATATATATGTATATGGCGATGGGACTATATTGGTAGCCGACTACGACAACAATCGTATAACTAAATGGGATCCAAATGCAACAAGAGGAGTACTCATAGCGGGCACAGGTTCATATGGCTCTTGAAGTACTTTACTTGCTAACCCTGCTGCTCTTGATGGTAAGTGTAGAGCAAATTCTCGATAGCATATTATTGAAATATCTTTTTCTAGTTCAAGATGACCGAATGTATATGTCTGATTTAGAGAACTATCGCATACAGGTATGATTTTATAATGCACTGTATACTGACGATAGTCACTATTGGCATCGTTTGAGGAGAAATACAGACGTTACAATTACAAGGAATTATTCGTAGCTTGTGCTAGAGTGCATATTAAAGAATAAAATGTTCGAGAACAGCTTCTAGAACTAATTACTTAAAACTGACAAAAAACTTTGATTGTTTATTAAGGTATTTCCTCTCAACACAAATTTGATTTCTCCAGAGGCTATAACATTAATCGGACGTTATGGTCAAGGTTCAAATATAGATCATATCAATCAAGTAGCTAGTATAGTAGCTTCTTATTTAAATCCATCCTTGTTGTATATGGCTGACTCAAAAAATCATCGAGTTCTTGTTTGGGATTATGAAACAGGAACTACACAATTAGTCGCCGGTGAATCAAACACGTTTGGATCTGATTCAATGCGATTACACGATCCATCTGGTATAGCATTGGATGAAAACACAAATTTAATCTATATTGCCGATAAATCTAATAACCTAATACACAAGAACGAAATTCAAGTGTAACTGTACCAGGTTGAAGTCAACTCCATAGTCCATCTGCCGTACAACTTTATCCGTCTGGTACTTATATGTTCATTGCAGATACTGATAATCATCGTATTTTCCTATGGTTAAATGGTGCTCGACAAGGTCGAACTATTGCTGGTAATGATACACTAGGTAATAGTGACTATCAATTAAATAATCCATCCCGAATACGATTTGATTCCGCAAATAATTTATATGTTGTTGATACTAACAATTCTCGTATTCAACGTTTTAATCTAGTGTCAAACGGATGTTGAGTTGACAATAGTTTTACAGTTTTATTTTTTAGAAAAAATGATTTATTTGATGTTCAATAATAAAAATAAATATAATATCTTATGCTAACTTTTTTATATTGTTGAACCGCGAAATCCTCTACGAATTTTTTCCAAAAGGTAAATTCTCACGTTTTCAATATTATTCTTGTTCAGATCTGATTATCGTCGAGCCCATATATTATTATTTAGCATTGAAAGATTTTCAATGTCTAGAGAAATGTCTTTTTTTTCAGTTAATATTTTATTGTTAGATATCAATAAATGATAATGGAAACTTTATTTACTGTTTCACAATACACATAAGGTAAAATAAAAAAGATGTATTAATATTGATGTTTGCCTTTTAATGTTGCACTGTATTTGGTGTAAAAATTTCATTTAATTGTTGACTAGAAAATAAAACAAAATGTTACTTTTGAAGAATCATAAATAGTTGATTGATAATTACGAGACGCGAATGAATGTTGTACGACGACTTAGTTCTTTTAATTTACTTGCACCTACATAAGTACAACAACTGCGTACTCCGCCTAAAAAGAGAAAATACAATTTCAATTGAATGCCAGCGAAACAAACAAACAAACAAATCTACCTAATATATCTTGTGCAGTGTTTAAAACACTTCCTCGATAGGGCACTTCAACTGTTTTACCTTCAGACGCGCGATATTCTGCAACACCACCAGACTGAAATTAAACCCATATGCAAAAAATGAAAGTAACTCGAAATCTTCTTACATGCTTATCCATAGCCGTTTTTGATGACATGCCATAAAATAGTTTAAATTTACGCCCATTACGTTCAATTATATCGCCTGCACCACTTTCATCATGACCAGCAAACATGCCACCCAGCATGACAAAATCAGCACCTAATATTAAATGAGCATAAGTTCATGCCAGTAAAAATACGTGAGCAATTTATTTTGAAAATTCAACATCAAAGTATATTAATATCGAGACTTACAGAACGGTCGATAAAAATAACTATTAATTGTTATGAGTATTATACTATGATAAAAGTCATCAAACACATTAGAAAAGTATGATGAACTAAATGCGCATATTTAAAAGAGAATCAAAACGATACTTTCCTGCCTTTATGCTAACAATTAGCGGCAGCACGTCATGCATAAAACGCGCTTCTTCTACCTCGAATTCAATCAAGAATAAATTCAGCGTATGCAGTCCACTATTTTTAACTCCGTCGTTTTTTTAACTAATGAAGTATTTAATCTTTCACAAAACAAATCCCTTTTTATTAGAACAGTTTAACTTACCAGCTCCGAAAGCTTTAGCTACATCACCCGGGTTTGTACAACCACCATCCTAAAATAGGCCTCATCAAATCAGTGAACAATATCATCAAATAATAACGTACGCTAACAATATGGCCGCCAAGTCCATGAGCAGCATCGGCACATTCAAGAATGCATGATAATTGAGGATAACCAACACCCGTCTTCAAACGTGTTGTACAGACACTTCCTAATTAAAATTATTTGTTGTTGGCGAATAATAAATTTCAGGAGTATCAAACCTGGTCCGATACCACATTTAACAATATCAGCTCCACTTAGAATAAGTTCTTCAACCATTTCACATGTAACAACATTTCCTGCCTGCGAAAAACAATTTTTATAAAAACTCGAATGAATAAAAAAAAGGTTCCATACAATGATTGTTTTATCAGGAAACTCCTTTCGGACGTATCGAACGAACTCAACAAAATGTTCGGAATAACCATTAGCAACATCAACACAAATATACTCGATTTCTGGTATTGCGGTTATAACGTCACTAGGTAGAAAATAAAATTTCCTAAAAAGCTTTTTATTTCGATCGTAAAACATACCGTAATTTTTTAAAATCATTTTCTGTCATACCAGTTGATATTGCAACGTTCTTAGAGAAGAAAAGGATTAGAAATTTAGTCACCAAAAATTCTAGTCTTCTTACAGAAAGTATTTCTTTATTGCCTTCAGCGAATTCTTTCCATTGTTCGACTGTATAATGTTTATGAACAGTTGTAAATATTTGTAGCTAAGAAAACGGCAAAAAAATTTCAGTAAAAAATTTAATAGGGTCAACATACTTTTGATAATTGTGAAGCCATTTCAAATGTCCCAACAGTATCCATATTCGATGCCATGATGGGAATGCCTTCATAAGTCTTTTTACTATTGCGAAATAGAAATTGACGTGTTAGATCGACATCTGCACGACTTTTTAATGTTGAGCGTTTTGGACGAATAAGAACATCCTTAAAATCAAGTTTTATATTATTATCGATATGTGGCATTTTTAATACGTTTTATCTAGAAAATTAGATGGTAATTTCTATATGCATAAGTTTTTCATCGATGAAATACTATTCAGAAACAGTATTTGAGCGTAAGATATTTATGTAACTGGATTTGTCAAGGGGTCAGCATGAAAGATAGGAAGAAAATGAAAAAGAGATGGAACAATCATAGTGTTATTAGTGTGCTTATTTATACATTATTTCTCTCTTAATCGATTTCATTATGAATACAAGAGATTTCGTATGATAGAAACTATATAGTTTTTCTATCATGATTCAATAGTATTTAACTGAGATTTATCGAAAAACCATCAGTTAGCTTCTATGGCAAACTTCTGTACAGAGCAAACGTCTTCTCATTGTCAGAAGAGCGTTTGCATCGCTATTTTTCTTTCCGTATTTAGCATTACTCGAATGCGCACTATATCTCACCTTCTCGAACAAGATCAAACAGGAATAAATTCATACTAATAGGGTGTAGGCATCTTCAACACTCTAAAACACTTAAACATGTTCTCTTTTCGACAGGATACATGTGATAAAAACTATTTTCACTGAGTCAAGAGAGAAAAGAGCCTATAAATATAGTCAACCTATTTATCAAAAAAATGTGAAGAGTGAACTAAACTTGGAGTCCATAGTCCGTAATTCACCGTCGTCAACTTTGTAAATAACAAGAACTCAATAGATGTCCTTTGCAACCGTAATCATTTTTCTAAAACTTCAAATCCACGCATGAGATGACTAATTCAAGTTCAAACATAAATGAAGAACCTTCAAATTGGGACACCTATTTTTTTTTATAGCCTGACAATTGATGCATACGTTAAAGTCCTCGAGGTACCCGAATCCGGTATGAGACTATAGACATCGTTAGTATTTGAGAAATAGAAAATGCAATTTTCAGAATTTTGTACCTCGAAAATCTACTTTTCAATGATTATCTCAATTCTAACTCTGCATCAAACTTGATCACAACAAATAATAAGAACCTTTAACCCTTGGATTATTTTCAAATAACAGCGATAACATGACATTTTTTTTTTCGTAATCCTCAACAATATTACCTTGTAGATAAAAAGTGGACATATTTATCAGCAGCACCCTGATTCAAATTTTTACTAGGCACTAGTGTTATGGCTACAATTTTGTCATCGAAGTAAGAGATTTGTCTGACTGATTTTTGATCATTTGAAAGTTATAACGAAATTCTCAAGTTACAGAAAAGGACAATTATGATCTAGAGTAAATGATAAGAATTTAATTTTAAAAAAGTACTTTTCTCTGATAGATAAAATTAAAAGCGAAGTTAAAGTACCAATTATAATTTCTAATTTTTTTTCTAGGATGCTTGCTCTCTTGGTTATCTTTTGTTTATCTATGGAAATCTACACATTTCCTGTTGAATTAACAGCATTCAAAGAACAAGAGCAAACAACTAAACCACAGAGTAAGGTTCAACCGAGAAATTATGTGTTGTAATATGGATCTATACTGGTAGAGTCTGTATACTGGATACTCTACAAGATTTTTTTTTTAATAACAGACTCACTAGGATAACGAGAAATAACTCTATTTATTTATATTATTATTGGTTGTGAGAATTCAAAAGTACATAGCGAGACTTTGAAATGCTTAAGTTTGATCATCTATTCATAGATATAAAATAATCTATTTCGAAGTTAAGTGCTATTTTGTTTTTGTCACTCCTGCAAATATTCATCAGATAATCTCTATTCTGTTAATATTTATTTATGAAAGTAAATAGTCAGCGCAATAGGTTAGTCAGAATGACAATGCTCTTTTTTTCCTTCATGATGCAGTAGGTCTTGACACTGCGTAAATATGTATGTACCCTCCTGTATGTTTAATTTAGTACCGATGAGCGCGCCTGTAATACCTTATTCAGTTACTCAGAATGGTCAAGGCGCAGTATATGATTGGCAAAATGATAAAATCACGATACGCTTAGCTGCAAGTCAAACACAAGGATCGTTTACTCTAACTGAAGATGCTATGAAACCGACATTCGCACTCGGTCTTCATATGCATAGAAAACATACCGAAACATTTCATGTTCTCGAAGGAGAACTTGAATTTCGTTTGGGTAAGAATACACAGATTGCACGAGCTGGAACAACAATTCATGTTCCATCAAATATACCTCACGGCGTTCGAGTTATCAATGGACGACCGGCTCGCATGCTGATGCTCTTTGCGCCAGGTGGATTTGAGAACGTTCTCAAAGAAATGAAAACATTTACGGATGCGCAGTTTGCCGATGAAAAGTTCATGAAAGCATTCAATGAAAAACATGATAATATTATATTAGAATGAAAAAATTTCTGATGCTTTTCATTTTTAGATTTCATGAAAGTGTGTTCGAACAAGATAATTTCACTTCCAAGAAAAAAACACTTTGTTTTCAATAAATTGACTACGCAATTTTTCATGCATTCAGAAAATTTATCATATCAGTTCTGACCATATTTTCTAACTAAAATTTTGAGTGATGAATCGATTCATTTTGTATTTGGCATTGATTTTAACGGCAAAGACTATTGCTGGAGTATATAACTTTGAGGTGAGACTGCACATGAATGTCGATGATATTTTAATTAGGATGGAGACGGAGCATCGACAGTGCATGACGCGTATATGCGCCCGTTAATTGATTTTCAGCTTAATTTATTTGTCTTAACGAGGAATAAAAAGAAATATTTTTTATTCAAACCAGTAGTTTTGTCATTCATCATTCGCAATGTTTCTTGATTTGGAAATCCTACTACATTTAATACTTGTGAACTTGTCATTGACGCCTATTGGAAATTATAGATCCCATGATAAGACAAGATGGAATAGGACAAGGATTCGATAAATACAGGAGACGCTAATAGTTAGAACTAATGATAACTCCTGGAATTATGTTCTTTCATGTGTATGTAAGCAGATTAGCTCTTATCCATATTCTGATATCAGGTATTAAACAATATAAAGTCCTTTCAATAGAGACTTAGTGACGTGTTGGCTATCTCCTACAACGGCTGTTCAGCATCTCGTCCATGGAAAGAATTTTACTTACATAAAATTTATTCTTTCTTTTTAGAGCACTACTCGTAGATAATGTCTTTTCTTGTGTAAGAGCTCCACAATCAGTTGTAAAAAGTTCACTCGGATTGCTCCAATAATGTCTGTTACATTGTTTCTATTTCCTAGTATCATTTAAGAGCGCCCCTCCCCTTCTGAAAAAATTCACTTGTAAATTTTTTCTGACTTTTCTTTTGGCCTTCTATATTGATCGACCTTACTATCATGTACCCGTAAGTGTGACACGTGAATACAACACTTCAGAAACTCCAGAATTGAATGAAACTACTATACATGGATCCATGATTAAACATAAACTTTGTTTCGTAAAATTATCAATCATGATGACTATAACATGTCTGGAAATGTTTAAAATAATTTGAACATATTACTTCTACATGATGCATACCGATACAATCCTAAAATATATTAAAGTCGATTCCAAAAAAAGCTGACTTTGCCCATGTCTATTCGTGCGTCACAGATTTCTCTGCCAATTTAAACGCTAGAAATCTGGGGCTGGTGCTAAAATGTAGACCAAGTGCAGCGCTACAACTTAACAGAGTCCGATTTTCCAATCTAATCGTAATTGTTCTTTTAAAAACTAGAAGATCTGAAAAACTCCCCGATTTTTCAGAATTTTGTGGCAGAAGTTTTTAGAAATCCAAACTAGGAGTAAATTGAAACATCAGGTTCTCTTAAGTTCTAGCCCCACCTCTTGGCTACATTTTAAAACTAGCCCGAGCTTTCTAACATTTGAAATGACTGAGAAATCTGGGATGCACAGGCACCTATATTTGCACCTATAATCGTTAGCTAACTCTATGAAGACTCAATGTATCGAGCTGAAATTTTTACTGAGATACTATACTGGAAATACATCTTCCCCAGAAATTTCATCGAAATCTAATGCGTAGAACAAAATGTTTTTTTTAGAGGGGGCCCCCTTAATAGCACAGTACAATAAAGAAAAATTCTTTTGTGGAACTCACGTACATTTTCGAAGAAAATAGTATGTAAATTTAAGGGGCAGAATATTGCAGCTCCCTCTCGCCCTCCCCTTACAGACATACCCATTACAGACATTAAAAGCTAATTATTAATTAGAAGAAAAAAACAAGGAAAAATGCGAAAGAAAAAAAGGGCCCCAACCAAAATACAATAATCTTTTGAAAATGTAAAAATAAATGGGAGAGATTTTACTGTGAAGATCAATTATGTTGAAAAGTCAGTAGCCTGAGAAATTTTTCATTTTACACATTTTTATTAGTTTATCGAAGCTTCAAGGATATACGCGAGCTCCACATTTTGGCCCCAAAGGGGCTGCGCTGAATAGCTTTTTAGCTAATGCCATACTTTATTCTCTTGGTTTACATATATTTTTTTTTCTCTTGAATCCTATTTAAAATGCGACAACAAGAAAAATGCAATCAAATTAACACAAGCACATTAATATACATGAAAGAAAACGAAATAGATTAATCAAGTTTCCATGAAGTAAAACTGTAAATAAAATATAGGAATGACGCCACACAAAATCATTAATTTTTATATTTAATTTTCTATCTGACATGATTTTTATTGGCAAGACAAACAAGAAAATTGGTTCGAATTTATGCTCGTTTTACTGAATAGTCAATTGATTGAACTGCTGCTAAAGATTTATTGCCATTAGATTTAACAGTAGTCGCTGTTGGTGCTGTTTTTTGTATGGTACTTGATGTTGGTGTTGTTGCTGTTGATCCCTTATTTTTTGAATTTGATTTAGCTGCTTTTTGTTTTTTTGCTATTTCTTGTAAGTCTGTACACATCTCGTCTTTAAATAGATCAATAGATGGTCCTGAATGCCAATATGTATAACCTGAATATGTTTCACTAGCAGAAAATGAATCCATGGGTGGGAACAAGAGGTCAACAATTTCATGTAGATTTTTATATCTGAAATATTTGAAATAGAAAATGTTTTTTTACAAAAGGGTCACATACGAAGTCAATAAAGTTTCCGATAGTTCTTGTCGTACAACTTCACCACGTGGATTTATTGTATAGATGCGAGTTACTGGTATTCCAACAGCGGTATATGCCCATTGATCCTAGAATAATTTCGATTTTATCGAAAAAGAATGAAAATTAATAAGTTTCGAGTATTTTCATCGAGAGATCAAAAACGAATTTTTATGAGTTAGCTGATATATGAAAAAAATTTGATTAGAATAGATAAAGAAAAAACAACTTACATTAATTCGGTTACCAAAACCAGCGTAAAATGGATTTTTGGCAGGAAAAAGGCTTGCAATATTTTTTAAACATTCTATTTTAAAATATTCAGGTTTTTTCTCAATAACTTCTCTAAAAAATATATATATATATGTATAAACATTCGAAAATCAATAAACAAACCGATAAAGTGCTGTCATTAATGTATCAGGTGAGATGAGTAATGGCCCAATAGGTAGTTCTCGATCGTATTGTTTTACGTTTTTCAAAAAATTTCGCGTTATTTGACTTTGTCCAATAGCACGTGCAGACAGATAAATAAATTGATAACCATTTTCTTGGATAGCATTAAAAAATTCTGCTATACCATCATGTGACCAATCGCCACCAACTAATGGAATAATATGTCCCAAAACATCTGATCTATAATAACAAATATTTATTTTTAAAAAAAAAGAAATTCAGTGCATACTTGGTTATTGTTCCGTCAATATCAGAAATAACAAATTTTGTCATATGATCAAACAAGAAGATGTTCGCATCAACTGTTGTTGTACCTTGTATGGATGTTGTGACACTAAATTCAACTTTATTTTTACCCAATTTAAGATTTAAACGTTTTAATTCATCGGACGAAAGTATCATCGTTTTTTTTAATGCTGTTTGATGAGAAGAATGTGTTGAAGGCGGTCGCGGTTGTTGTTGTTGTTGTTGTTGTTTTTCTTGTTCAATTTTAGCTGTTAATTTTCTTACTTCACTATCTTCTTGTTCACTATCATTATCTGTTTTTCTGTAAACAAAAATGTAAGATTCTATTTAAGAAAAATGATAAGTTGTGTAACATACGAATTTTTAGAAGATGTATTATTTCCATTGGAATCTTGAGGAGTCAATGCTGTTGGTACAACTTCGGATTTAGCAGCTGCTGCAATAGCATCTGTTGCTGTGATTGGTGTGGTTACTTTTGGAGTTTCAACTTTCATATCCGACTATTAGAAATAGGAATTTATCGATTGGAATAGAATAAAAAATAAATTTATATCGTACCTTTTTACCATAAAATGGTAACCACCAGCCACCTCCTGTTGAACGTGGTTTTTCTTGTGCCATGTGTTTCTCTTGTAATTGCTCAACTACTTCATTCGGTAATGGTTTATGATAAATACTGGTCGATACAATAAGTGCTGAAGCTACATTCCAATTATAATATCTAAATGATAGATCATTAATGTCACCTTCGATATCAATGCAACTACTAGTAACATACTTTCCATTAATGCGAACCACTAAATTAGGATCACTAACAATCGATGGATTATTAAGAAATGTTTCAAACGAAACGAGATTTGCATAAAATACTTCGTCAGTAATTAGCGATTGTTTATTAATATTGCCACAAAGAGAAAGTTGAGCATCGCCAAGAAGACAACTAGAGAGAAAAAAAGGAAAATGAATAATGTAACATATGAATGAGATTAACTAGTCTGTGTAATTTTTTAAAACTATGTACATACGTAGCTTCGTGTTCTCGAAATGGTGATTGTGGTATTGAATTTCCTGTTCCCGATTCTTGATCGTCGTCATTCGTTGTTCGTTGGTGATGTTGATGATAATCCCTATGAAGGTTTTATTTTATTCATTGAGCAAACAATCATAATAAATAGACTTACATTTGAGGTAAATAAAGAGATCGATCAACACACCGATTACTTGTAATATCATCAAGGTAAATACCTTCTTTTGGTGGAGTTTTTTTCGATGCTGGCCACAAATATCTGAAAACACTTTGTCGCTGTTCGGGCAATTCCCCCCATTTCCATCGCCAACCTGTATTCGATGATTGCTGAGACGATTTGTCCAATTCATATTCTGTATCGGACTTTGGACTTGTTGGTCGTGGAGATGATGCACTAAAAATTTCAATTCATTTTTTTTTAAATTTTATTTCGAATAGTTTTAATTTTTACCTTTCATAGGAGGATGTTGCTGAATATCCTTCATGTGAATAAAAATCCTCTACAGGATCATCGGATTGACTGATACGAAGAGTATTTGTACTAAGTGTATCTAATGGTGCTGATTTTGATAGAATTGAACTTGTCAACGTATCAGTTTCGTCAATAGTTTGTGCTGATTCAAATATTTGTTCGATTACTATCGGATTCGATAGATTTCTTGCTGGTTTATTATCAATATTATCCTTGTCTGCAATACTAGAGTATTCTTCTATAGTACTTTGTCGATTTAAATCAAGTGTTTTCGGTCGATTATCAATACTCTTAAAACAATTCGATTCATTGATAAATGCTGATAATTCAGGATCAAATTGAAATAGTTGTAAGTCATTTTCACTTGCACTACGTTTACGTAGAAGTTTTACTGATCGACGAAATTTTTCATTCGTATTTGTTGATGTTATGGAATCTGTATCATTATTTGTTGTCGTAGGTATTGATTCACGTTTTCGTGCGCGTGAACGACGTTTCAATGAAGAAAATTGATCGTATACATCTTGATCATCATCTTCACTCGCTTGTTTACTAGATTGATCAGCACGTGTAAATAGCCGACGTCTCGGGCGACGACGTGTTGTTAAAAATGTATCTGAATGAACAACATCAATGTTAATAACGGGTTTTGATTCTTCTTCATATACATAAGTTTCGCTCGATGGATAAAAAAATTCAATTGGATCTTTTTCATCAGCCTTTTGACTTATTGTTTGAGGTGTAGAATCGATATTTGACAAATGTGAATGAGAGTCGGTTTCGGATGGAAATGATGTGACATTGTCGAGATCAACACATGTATTGTTATTCGAAGGTTCTAATTGACGAGCTGGTTGAGTAACAGCAGATGTACTCTACAAAAATATATAGACAATAATTAATTCCATTGCATATTTTAGTATATTAACATACGGTGTCCTCTTCAACAAAAACAGCTTCACCGGCTTCGCCCAATTGCATATATAAATCTTCGACCGGAATATCATTTATTGTTATATAGACCTTAAAAAGAAAATAGCTAATGTAGCTCATCATTTACTTATCAGAAACTGAAATCATGTATTAATTCTAATTAAGAATCTCTCAAGTATCTACATGTATCGCTTCGAGCGATCTGTAAGTCAATTTTGTATTTACTTTATTTTGTAAACTTTGTAGAACACCTAATTTTCCAAAACGAACATGAAATGGTGTACACCGGAGTGTTCCGTCCTCTTGTTGAACGACAATAATATCAATCGCACCTAGATGAAAAAGAAAAGAAACAATCAAATCTTTGAAGTAATATTTCAAGAATTTCTACCATTGAGTGTCGACGGATTGATATTTCTATAAACTGTTGTCAGCTTTGAAATTACTTTTCGTGTTATCGATGTCATTTTAATTTTATTATAACAATCATAAGATGGACTGAAAAGAAAAAGAAAGAATCTCTATCAACTTATTGCCAACATGATGCAACAATATGACTAATAGGGCACGTAAGTTCTCCGAACAAAGAGAAAAAATCCTTGTAAATCAGTGCGTCATTATGAAAAATATTCACTCTCATTCATAACAATACAAAATATTTTTATCGCAAGACTAAGAAAAAGAAAAAATCTATCCTCAATCATGAAAGGAACATAAATATAAACAAAACGAGAGAAATGTTTGACATATTCCCTATTCTCACACCAAACTTCTGTGTCGCGAAGGCGAAGGTTATCTAGAGAGAGTATACCCACTTTTATGAAAGAAAGAGAAAAAAGGCCGATTGGTTTGTAAACAGAAATGCAAAAAAAATCCCCGACACATCATATATCGAAGAAAAATATAAGCACAATGTTTCAAAACCAATTATCCACGTCCATGATCTGTTATTCGTTAAAGTAAATAAAATAAACTAGACATACCCAAAAATGACAGATCTTCATAGGACGAGATCACTGTTAATGAATGAAAGAAAATCTATCTAGAAAGAGAAATATACATATACGTATAAATAAAGCAATGCTTATAGAATTCATCACACTTTTAGCACACAAACAAAAAGTTTATCGATATCAGATTGCATGGAATACATGTAATTACTATTTGTCTTTAGATATAGGCATGAATCATTTAGATTTCTTATCATAACAACAATATGATTTCTTTTTTCTTCCGCGACTTATCGTTTTGGTTTATTGAAACAAAAGATAAGTGAATAATCTACTAGACAAAGATTATTCAATGAGCGATTGGTTTCGTTCGAATTCTCTTTCTATTATATACAAGAAAAATAAATAAGAAAAAGTCGATTTTAACTGTTTCATAAATTCTATTCTATAAAGTTGTAACTATTCTCTAGTGATTTATTCGTATTCTTTCTTGGCAAGAGGTGTTTAGGCACAAAAATAAAATTATCCTTGTCTAAAAAGCATACCAATTTTACCGTAACATTCTTATATGTTATTCGCGTTTACCTTTTGATAAATGATATTTTTCTCTCGAATAGACAGTTGTAATTTAATGTTATACGAGAGTCAAGACTTTCAACAATCAAAAAGCGATAATCTTTTAGCTTTAGACAAAAGACACTTTGAAGATTAACCGCGTGAACTTAGACAAAAAATGTAGAAAAGAGCTTATGGGAAAAAAAAAGAATTATTTGCTTACTCAAGCTTTTTCTTCTCTACGTGAAAATTGCTTGCCCGATATACTTATGACCTCCGGGATTCGATATTGCTACCTAACGAATGCAAATTTTGTATGTATTCGTAATGAAACCATAGAATATGCGAGAGTAAAAAGTTGCTCTGATCGAATGCTAATGGGCCCTTCATTGATTAAGATGCCGTAAGCAATATCACGATTCAAACCAAAATAGAAATGTTGATTTAAATATTTTTATTTTCGATTTCTAACAATGAACTAAGGAATGAGAAGAAAAAAAATGCTTATCTCAATTAAATGTCTCACTTATATCTGTTAGTAAAAACTATTGTATTTCTCCTATTACAATAAAAACAAAGAACAGACGCTTTTATTTCCAATCGAAAAACGATCGGACATTATTGTGTTTATATGAGTCCCATAAGAAGTAAACAAAACAAAAATCAAAGTATTTACAAATTTGAATCACAGATTAGTTCCAAATTGGCATTTGTGAAATATAAGCATATTGTTGTTTTGGTACATTTGATTCGTCTAACGGTTTCTCAATTGTTGAATTTAACGAAATATTTTCTAATGTTTGTCTATCTAACAAAACAACTTCCGTTCGTCGAACGTTACCAATAAAATCAGTCAGAAGTGTTTTGCGATAATCTCGTTTAGTAAATAAATCAGTTCGCCATGCTACTTCGGATATACATAAATGTTTTGGACAACAATGAAAGAAATCATCGATTGTTTTTTGTGAATCTTGTTTTAATTTTTCAAGAAATTCAAGTGCATAGTATGTAAAACGATCAATAACATAAACACCGATTTTCGGATCGACATGATGCGAAAGAGAATCTTCGCCACGTTTCGATGATCCAACAGCTAAAATATTTGGCGAATAAAATTTTTCAAATAATGTCGCAGCTTGACATGTATCAACAACGAAAAATAATTCATGATAACGTTTTTTACGCCACATTTGTTCGATAACATCAGCTAATTCAACAGCCGAAATTTCTTCATTATCTTGAAATTTAAGGAAACCATCACCACCATGACCAGTCATGTAGATAAATATATTTGAACTTTCATCGGAGAGAAGACGCTTCGATACAGGTGTCACGTCTGGTAAACGATTTGTTAATATACGTACAAAATTTTCAACAGTGACATCATAACCACGATAATCAACTTCAACATCGTCACCATAAACATTGATTTGTTCAGCAACATTATTAAAGATTTCAGCTGGACGCGGATTACGAGGATTACATGCCATATCATCAGCTAACATGAGAATTATATTTGAATCCGGAATACCTATAGTAGAAGGAAAAAAACACAATATTGAAGATTAACTGTTTCTTCGCCGTTCGCGTTTATTTACAGAGAAATCTGTAAGTCACTAATTGAGGAACTAAAACAGATGTTTCTGCCAATCGTAACAAAAATGGAGAAGTCTAGTGCAGATTACCATATGCTATTCGAAAAAGAGTTATTTAATCACGGATGTTGGTTAATTACTCTTATGCTGTATAAGAAAATAATAGATCCTGATTCATATTTTCCTTCCGTTCTATAATGGAACGCATATTGACATTACTAACACGGTACGAAATCGAAAAACAAATGTTGCATGAACTGTTTCCTTGCTGCATTGATTGATTCTACCGAATTTCTTTCACTAACTCATATACCTATAGAATTGATAAGAATTTTTATCTTAAAAATTACCCAATCGTTTAACACTTCGATAAATGGAAAGTACATTAGCAACATGCCGATAGTTGAACCAGAAACGAGATGTGTCAACAAGAATAGCCCAATTATTTGTATGACGTGTGCTTGATTCAGCAAATTTTTCAAATGGATCAACAGCGGAAGTCAATAAAAATAATAGCACCGTTATAAACAATTTTAGATACATCTAAAAATATAATTACTAGTCGTTCCCAATATTTAGTACCGATATTTTATATCTTAATCACTGTAATTATAAAAAAAATAAATAAAACTGATGGAGTGCAGCATTAGAAAATATTTTATCAATATACTTTTATTTATTTATAGTAATATGAAATAGAAAACAAAATTGATCGTAAAAAATTTACAATCGAACGATATGAACAGCATAAAATAAGCACCAATCAAAACATGTGTAATAACCCTTCATATGTTTATCAAGCAGAGTTCGCTTCATTGTCCAATAAAATAGTCCGGAAGATGACACACTAGAAGAATGGAAAAATGGAATAGAAATGCTACAAGCGATGCGAATCGAACCAATATAAATTATTAACAAATGATTGTACAGCACACGCATGTCGGCGTCAGTATCAAAGAGCAGGCAGAGAAAAATAAATATTCTGAAAATCGTAGCTATTAGCGATGCATGCTGCTCAGCAATCGCAATAGGAGACATCAGAAATGTTTCTTTGCTGCGTCATCTGGTCTACGATTGCCCTTTTTAAAAAATATTGGGACCCTTACAGGTTCAAGGTTGTCAAAAATATAGGATTTTCGATAAAAAATGACAAAAAGAGAGAACGTTTTATAGAATGGCATCAAAATGAGCGACAGAAAAAAGAGCGAACGAAAAAAGAGCGAAGAAAAATGAGCGAAAGAAAATATGTCGAATACTAAATGTCGAACACAATAATAACGAAAAATAAAATGTCGATCGTATGAAAATAGCGAAGAGTAAGTACTTATATTTTTCCCTAAATTTGTTTTTTGAATTTCAAAATTCAGTCAGTGATATTTTATTCCTTCATTTTGTTGTGTTAGCTATTTTCACTGGCTAGCGGTTTTCGTCAATAGTATCATCGTCCAATCTAGCTAACGGAATAAACACGAAGGACACAAAAGATACAACGAAATTAAGATACGCCATACCTTATTTTTTTTCCATTTCATATCACTTGTTGTTAATTTAGTATAAATTTCGATGACATCGAATGCACGCAGCGTATCCTTTACCAGCTCTAATAAAGGCAATCATCTGCTAATTTTAAACGATTTTATATATCGAGTAAAAAAAGAAACAGCATGAAAAAAATATTGGATTTGTGAAAGAATTGGATACAATACGTATGTACAAAAAGGGTTTTGAAATCAATGGCTATCTATTGTTTGATGGCTTCCCATTCGCCATAGTCAAACGAAAGAAAGAAATATTTTCTTTTTATTAATTTTATAACTAATTATACTTCATTCATTTCATTTTTTGATGTACTTAAAATTTTATCAGACAATATAAAATCTTCATCTTAGCAGTCTAAAAATATTAAAATAAATTTTTTCGCTATTTTTTCCATTCGGCATTTTTTCCTTCGACATTCTATTTTCGACATTTTTTCTTTCGCTCATTTTGATACATACCGTTTGTACCTACGTTAGTATTAAACAATTTCTCAGTCACCCCACTAAATAGGCGAAAGGAAAAATACTGTTTAAAACAAATGTCACTATAATACAAGGATTTATCCAAAACACATGATTATACACATTAAAAGTTTGTTTTCGTCTAAAGACAATAGCAAAATTAAGAGATTTTCGGAAATTTTCTATTTTTTTCGATAAAATATAGATCGAATCGCAGCCCAGCGATTCGTCATTAAGTCAGTCACTGGTCCTTATTCGAGCTGGATTAGTTAAATTTGAATAGTTTCGAACATGAAACATTTGCCAATTGGAAAAATGTATTAGATTTATGTGAAAAAATATTTTTGTGCATACGTTATTTTAAAATCTATTAAGGAAAAACAGTTGTCTGCAAACAACACGACTAAGTCAGAAGAAACGATAGCATGTAATGACTCAAGTAATCTATATTATAAATAGATACATACGGAGTGCAAAACTCACAAGGCAAAATTTTTCAGACAAGGCTTTTTTTCTTATTAGTTATGACATTGAATCTCCGTGGTATAATTATTCAGGTTCAGCAATACCTGAAATCGATACTACGATAATGAAATGAATATATATCCATTTCTGAATACATTTTCACTGTCAGAAGATGAGACGTTTACATCATAAGTAACAATATTTTCTCTATTTCATAGAAAACAAAACAAAATATAAGTCACTTGATAGATTTATTGCATTGTCAAAAATTGTGTTCGTTATCTGAAAATACTTTAAGATTCTTTTGTGTTTTATACGAGATTTGATCTACCAGCAAAGTAATGGTTACGTTCTTTTGTTTTTTTCACTTGATGCAATACATATTAAAGAAAAAAAAACCCTTGAATAGCCCACGATTATCAAGATACTTATCACTTTGTAACACAAAAATGTCAGGCTATAAATATTTTCGAGGAATTATACAACGGTTGGGTGAAATTATTTTTCTCTTTTCTTTTACAACACTTCAAATCAACTATATACTTGGCAACTATCAGTGACATGAGAACACTAAAATTGAAATATATAACGGCAAAGAAGAATATTTACAGTAGGTCTTACATACGAATATATTGCCACTAGAAAGATATTTTCAGCAGAAATATTCTGAAAGATTTTCCCAATTTTCTTGCTCTGAGCAATCGATGTTTCTCCTATAATAATAATGATTTGCACTAAAACAATCCAAAGGATACTTGCAGTTCTATCATAGAATTATCTTGTAAAAATCTCCTCCTTGAATCATGATTTATTGAACAGATGAGATTTACTTACACACGTAAAAGACGATCTGAAACGTCTATTCACCAGACAATAAGCGTTTCTTCTTTTAAAAATATAACTTTATGGCAATCATCTTGATGATGTAGGTGTATGCAATTCTGTTCCTTGCCTTAGCCTCACTAAAAATTTGATTATTGCTCGAGGGGGTCGATGCGTTTGAATAACGAATCGGTTTCACATAAAATTGCATAGACATAAAATCATCAATAATATATTTTTTGCCTCTAGGAGTTTCCTATGGCACCTAAACAGTCAAAACCAAGCCCATTCTTAAAGGCAAATACGTGGTCACGAACATTTCATAGGTGAGTATTTCCATTTTTTTAATGGTCAATCTAATTTGTACGCTAAAACTAACTGTTTCATTGTCTAGTTGGATATCTAAATTACTCGATGAAAGTCATCAACAAAAAACACTTAATCTCGTTGATCTTTACGATCTACTTCCTGAATATGAATCAATTAATCTTACTGAAAAACTGGAAAACCATTGGTTCGATGATACGAGACATCATCCTGATAATCCAAATCTTTTTCGTGCTACAGTTCGCACAATGGGATGGCAGCCATTTCTAATTGGCTGTCAATTCATTCCTCAAGTGAGTATCATGGAAATTTTTCTCAACTCATTATTTTATTTAACATTGGTTAAAGAGAATAGGAACATTCATTCAACCGTTGTTAATTATATCGTTAATGAATTTTTTTAAGCCATGCTCCACTATGTCAATTCATAATGCATGTTTACTGGGTATTCTCAGCGTATTAACTTCTATATTCTCAAGTTTTTTTCATCATAAAGTGAGTATATATGTTCATTTTACTTAAGATCATATTTTTTTAAACGTACTTGAATATTGTAAAAATTGGAAAGCTAGATTTATTTGCTTGGGTTACTAGAGAATTAGGCTCATAAAAAGACAATTTCTAGAATATTTATGTAAATTTGAAAAATTCAATCTCGAACACGAAAGTAAAATTATAGAAGAGCATTGAATCTATATTTTAAAAAAACACAAGACTATTTTGTTCATTTGTTTTTAGTTTTACTTTTCCATACATGGATATGGTGCTCAAATGCGTGTTGCTTATCATGGTTTAATCTATCGTAAAGTGAGAATAAGCATTTGAATTTACACACTTGTGGAAACCACATTTTTCTCTAGATTCTTCGTCTATCAAGTCGTTCATTGAACAATATGAGTTCCGGTGAAATAGTGAATCTATTTTCTAATGATGCTGGTCAAATCGAAATGGCTCTGCAGTCTATTAATTTTTTATGGGTAAGATAAATGACACATAAAGAAGCAGCGTTTAGACAACAAATTTAATTAGCTCTCGCCATCATAACCTCGCATTTCAAAATATAGTCTCTTGATTTTGATCTCGAGTTTTGTAATTTGAATTTTGTTTTTTAAAGATAGCTCTACTGGATATTATGACTATGGCAGTATTTTTCTGGTATTTTGTTAATTATATCGCATGTATTGCAATAGGCTATACGTTGATGCTTATTTTACTGGTATCTCTTATTGGCAGCCTATTAGTTTATTTACGGTAAGATGAGTTTGTTTTTTTTAGTTGAATTTCTTTTCTTTTCTACTTGTTACAATTGTCGAATTCAAGACGTAAAGTTTTAAAAGTCACCGATGAACGAGTAAAAACCATGTCGGAAATAATTAAATCGATGCGTATTGTTAAACTGTATTGTTGGGAATCTGCATTTGAGAAAAAAATTCGTTCTATAAGAAAGTATGTCTTGATTTCTAATATATTTCTAATGAAGAATTTGATGAGTTTTGTTTTTCCCAGACGCGAAATTATTCAGCATGCTCTACGTTTAATACCAGAAACTATTGAATTATTATTTTCAAATACATATGTTTGCGTGACATTTTTTATGATGTACGCAGCAATGTGGTCACTTGATATACCTTTCGACACCCGATTTTTCACTGTCGCGACATGCTTTCTAACTCATTTAAAATTTTCGATATGGATTTTTGGCAGTTCTATACGTCATTTTGTCAATTATTTGGCAGCAGCTCGACGCATACAAGTTTGTTTTCTTTAGTGTTTTTCGAAAGTATTGTCTTCAAAGGATTTATTTGGTAGACATTTCTTTTGCTAGATGAATCTGACAGAGATCGTCGTTTGATGTCAGAATCTGATAGAAAGTTGCCGATGGATAGAATACGAAACGATGAGAACAACATAGTTCTAAATTCAACAAAGAAAATTGTGAAAGTGGAATGTCGTTTGCAAAGAGCTGCATGGGAACATGTAAAGATATTGTTCAGTCCGGTTTGTATTGGTTACCTATTCTAATTTTGAGATAGGATGGATTGTTCAAATTGAAAAATATTATATTCGATGCTTATCCCGGTGACTTGATATGTATTATTGGACCTGTTGGATGTGGCAAAGTATTTTTTGCATATTTTGAATTAAATCTTTATATTTCGAATTTCTGCATATATTTAGAGCTCTATATTACAATCTTTAACAGGTGAAATTCCCTATTTTGATGGTAAAGTTCGACTTGGTGGTTCATTTTGTTATTTACCACAAGAGCCGTGTAAGTTTAGAAAACGTTGAACGTGGCATAATAAAATTTTTTTTTGTTGCGATAGGGATCTTTTCTTCAACTATAAAAAAGAATATTCTTTTCGGCAAAGATTTTGATCCTCAATTATTTCAACGTGTTGTTAGTGCCACTGCACTCGGTGCAGTATGTTCGCATTTGAGATTTCACACTAGTAGAAATTGATTAATTTTCGTGTCGATGGATAGGACTTTGCACAATTATCCTGTGGAATGAATACGTTAGTCGGCGATCAAGGTGTTATGTTGTCTGGAGTGAGAAAAATGGTCCCATTGAAATAATGTTCTAGTCATCTAGTTGTATTTAGGGTCAAAAGGCAAGAGTAAACATGGCAAGGGCATTGTATCGTGATGCTGATATTTATTTGTTAGATGATCCGCTTTCCGCTGTTGATGTTAAAGTTTCGAAGCATATTTTCGAGAGGTATTTAAAATGATGATTTTGTATGAGAAAAAAATGATAACGATTTATGATTTTAGATCAATCAAAAATTTTCTTTGCGACAAGATTTGTATTCTAGTTACTCATCAAATTCAATTTTTAGAAGATGCAACCAAAATTATCGTACTCGAAAATGTATGTTTCTATTGAAAATCTCTAGGAATGCTTAGATTGATTTTTGATGTACAGGGTGAAATGGTACAAACAGGAACATACGATGAATTACGTGCAAATTCATCGTCATTCAATCGTTTACTAGAAAATATTCATCAACAAAAGCAAGAGCAACTTGAATGTCCAATCAATATTCTACGAAGACTACCGTCAAGATGTTTGACATCGACGGAAAATGAAAATGGCGATGCATCATCATTAAGGGATTCACAGACATTAGAAACGAAAGAAAAAGGTTCTGTTAAATCGAGCGTTTATATCGCATATTTACGAGAAGGTGTTGGCATTTTTCTTGGTGTTTTTATTTTAATATCAATGTTTAGCTTTCGTGAAGTAATATATGTTGTACACGGTTGGTGGTTAGCACGATGGAGCGATGATGAAGGTTATCGACGTCAAAATTTCAATAATTGTACAACAATGATGGATCAAAAAATTAATATAATAAGTTCGATGAATGAAACTCAATGGAATGTATATCGAAATAGTCGTTTCGATTTTTACTGTGGTTAGTAGTTGTCAAATGATTTTCTTGTACTATTTTGTTTTCGCGTAGGTATTGTCGTAACTCTCCTAATTCTTAGTCTATTACGTATATTCATTGTTAAATTAATATTTCTAAATAGTGGACGAGTACTTCATAATAAGTAGTTCTTGTCGATTTAAATCTTGCTTTTTGATTTTCATGTTCTGTTTTAATTAGAATGTTTCAGCGATTGATTCGATGTCCAATTTCATTTTTCGACTCGAATCCTGCCGGTAAGTTATTTTCATATTAATATAATATAGATTACTTGCTGTGTTGCCTATCAAAGGTCGTATTTTGAATCGTTTTACTAAAGACATAGCGGCGGTGGATGAACATCTTCCATGGAATTTTTTCGATTTTCTCAACGTAATTTTCATCTACATATTACATTAATATCTATTTTGGATTTCGTTTAGTGTCTTTCTGAAGTAATCGGAACCATTCTTCTTGTTAGTTGGCTTAATCCATCGTCATTCATACCAGCTGTGTTCGTAATCATTGGCCTGTTATTTATTCGTTATCGTTTTGCGCGATGTTCTCGAGATCTCAAACGACTTGATAGTACATCAAGAAGTCCAATTTATTCATATTTAACGTCAACTATTCATGGACTCAAAGTTATTCGATCTTATCGCGCAGAAAATATTTGTTTATCTCAATTCTCCAGTCTGATTGATGATAATACACGTGCTAATTATCTATTTATGACAACTAATCGATGGGCAGCAATTCGTTTTGACTGGATTACAACATCGTTTATTGCTATTGCAATATCGATGGCTCTGATTGTTCGTGTTACAGGTCGTCAATTTTCAGCTGCAGACATAGCTCTGACACTTTCATACAGTCTTAATCTCATAGGTCTTTTGCAATGGACTATCAGGTTAATTTAAACAATCTAAATTCAACTATAAATATTAATTAGGTGTGTGTTCTAGACAGTCAGTTGAACTGGAAACGCAAATGACATCAGTCGAACGAGCACTTGAATATTGTAAACTTGAACAGGAACCACCAGCTTGTGTATCGCCAAAAAAGCAGCCACCCACAAATTGGCCACGACGTGGAGAAATTCTTTTCAACGATGTTTGCATGGCTCATTCGAATAACTTAGATGCACCTTTAGCTCTAAGAAATATTTCCTTAAATATACAAGCTGGTGAAAAAATTGGTATTGTAGGAAGAACAGGCGCTGGTAAAAGTTCATTTATTCAAAGTATTTTTCGAATGGGCACACTTGTGAATGGTCAAATTCTAATTGATAATATTGATATATCAACAGTTGGCTTAGATGATGTTCGACGACGAATTTCAATTATTCCACAAGATCCTGTTCTTTTTACTGGAACAATGAGAAGTAATCTTGATCGATTTGGTGATTATTCGGATGCTGAAATATGGCATGCGCTTGATCAAGTTCGTTAGCAGTCAGCTCTTTGAAAAATTCTGTTTAACTTTTTCAATTATTAATATAGGTACAATTGAAAAAGCCAGTTAGTGATGTAATGCCGAATGGTCTTCAATCGCTTGTCAATGAAAGCGGTTCAAATTTAAGTGTTGGACAAAAACAATTAGTATGTTTAGCAAGAGCTATCTTGAAAAAAAATAAAATACTTGTAATTGATGAAGCAACTGCTAATGTCGATAATGCGTAAGTGAACTTAAATAAAATATTATTTCATTGAAATTCCCGATGTGTTATAATTTAGAACCGATGAATTAATTCAACGAGCAATTCGTGAACAATTTAAAAATTGTACAGTATTAACAGTGGCTCATCGACTACGTACAGTGATTGATAGTGATCGTATTATGGTATGAATTTATATATATATATATTCATTAAACCTATTTTCAGACTGATACTTAATTAGAAATTGAAGAGTGTCAGTCAAAATGTTCTCTATCAGCTACTACTACCTATTATTTTTGTTAAAATTATGGAATTTCTTCTTTTTTAAAGGTACTCGGCAGTGGCAACATATTGGAGTTTGATACACCTCAAGCATTACTTTTCGACGCGCAGTCTCAATTTAGTTCGCTTGTGCAACAAACTGGAATAGGTGAAGCTGAGCATCTTCGAATATTAGCAAATACTGCTGCTGAATTCAATAGGAAAATAGCTCAAGACATAGTTATCAGTAATGAAAATACATTCGAAAAAAATAATGAATCTGACCCATTTATTTAATCTGTTATCTTTATTTTAATAAATAAAATTCTATACGGAATAGCTTCTACAGTAGCGCTCTCTATTAATTGGTGGATATCCATGCGAGTTCTTTCAACTTCTAATTTCATTGCACAGTTGAAAAGTTATCCACTTTGATGAAATCAATCCTGTTGTGCGTCTAGATCTTCAACAAGAAAACTAGGAACAAAAAATGATTATTCCAATTCGTTGTTTTACATGTGGCAAAGTTATTGGCAACAAATGGGAAGCATACATTGAATTATTACGATGTGAATATACAGAAGGTGATGCACTTGATGTGCTTGGTCTTAAACGATATTGTTGTCGTCGTATGTTGCTATCACATGTTGATCTTATTGAAAAATTACTAAATTATACACCATTAGAAAAATGAACTAAAGTCATGCAGTCAGTTCTCATGTGGTTTTTTCTTTGTTCTTTTGTGTTGAATAAAAAAAGAAAGCGTTATTGTTAATAAATAAGCTTGATTGATGTTCCTTGATATCATTAACTATTAAATAGAGTTGAACTTGATTTTTATTTATTTATAGATTCTAAGCAGTAAAACGAAGTTGACTTTTGTAATTTTATATTTGAACGAAATCATGCGTTCAATGAAAGTTTAGATTCTTTTTTTGTTTTGAGTTTATTTCATTTTGATACATATTCACGATCACCCTTTTTGAAACAACCAATGAAGTAGTTGTCAGAAGTTATTATCTGTTTTATTCTATTGTTGTCTTTTTCTTTTCTGAACATAAGACACCAAGAGTAAAAATATAATAATAATTTTTCATTTGAATATTCACTCAATGGAACTAGGATTAAATAAAAAAACTACGATAAATTCGTGTGGAACTTGTTGACTGAGAGCGTCGATAATAGTTCGACTCCAGTGCGAATCCTTTTCTTCGTGTTGTTTCTCGTTGATTTTTGTCTAAATTGCTTTTGCTTGTGGTCAGAGTCAGATACTGTTTTAAATACACCGCAGTAATCGACTTCTTTTTTTTCTGAAGTTTGAATAGCTGATAGCGTAGCGTCATCTATTTATTGACGAATCTGAATGCAAGTTGTTTTCTATTTCGAACTTCCTTTTATTGCATAATTTTAATCTAATACTCTTTGATACAGTCATTTTGTGTCTCTGAATCTTAAACAAGAAAACTAAGAACAAAAAATGATTATTCCAATTCGTTGTTTTACATGTGGCAAAGTTATTGGCAACAAATGGGAAGCATATATTGAATTATTACGATGTGAATATACAGAAGGTGATGCACTCGATACATTGCATCTTCGAAGATATTGCTGTCGTCGTATGTTGCTATCGCATGTTGATCTCATTGAAAAACTATTAAATTATACACCATTAGAAAAATTGAGCTAAATTCATGCAGTTTTTAATGTGTTGTTTTGTTTTAGTTTTTAATTGCTCTTTCATGTTGAAGCAGACAAGAAAGCGTTATTGTGAATAAACAAGATCGATTGATTGATATCATTAACCATAAAAGCTATTGATTAGAGTTGAACTTGATTTTTATTTATTTATTTATAGATGTTCTATGAACGTCATAGTTGTAGTAAAGCGAATAAATAGGCTTTGATAGCATATATTCATCTCAGAACTCAAAGTAGATGGGCTCTTTTATATCGTATGACAGACTGATGCGATAATTAGATATGTAGGCAAAAAAATATAATTTCAACTTGATTGAATATCTATGATAGAAACAAAGAAAGTTCTTGAACTGACTTTTTTCGTCAACGTTGTATGTGGGTAACATTTTTTTTCTTTTCTAATCTCACATGTCGGCTGTTTTTTTTTGTCATTCTGTGGGTTTTTATTTTGTTTATTTTTAGTATGATTTCTTTTATGTATCAATAAGCAAAACTGAAAAATTCATTTTTAGTTGTCTATTAAAATGGCTAATCTATCCGACAATATCATTAAAGTCTTTCTTACCAAGCAAAGTCTTGCTTTAAAAGATTCTGATATTAGTCTTTCACTTGTTGCCCAAGGCGTGCAATGTTACAAAGAAGAAGTTCGTCGTCATGTACAGTCACTTAGTCCAGCATTATTTCAATTATCAATTAATAAAGATAATACAACGGGAATACGTGTTGATCCAGCAGTAGTTATTTTTCTATTTATTGATTTGTCTTGTTGATTCTTTTTTTCTTATACAGATTGATATTTGTGATAATTTTCTTGCTGGTCGTTGTCATAACACAGTAAAGAAATGTGATAAACTTCATTTATGTCGTGAATTTGGTCATTGTAAAATTCCAAAATGTCGTTTTCCGCATGATTTTAATCATGGTCAAAATTTACGAATAGTTCAACAAATGAATTGTGCAGATATTAATTGTGAATTACTTGTTAAATTAATTCAATTGAAAAAGTCTTCGGAACGAAAATTTGGTTCTACAGAATCTTTATCGAAAACTCGAAATTCAATTGTTGATAATAGAGATCTATCGAAAGAGGCTGACATAAATAAACAAATCGACGTAAGTTTTCCGTCAATACTTTTTGCTAAACAAATCGATATGGAAATTGTTGAAATGATTTTGTGTCAAAAAAATATTCAAATTGAAAAAAAATTTAAAGAATGTGAAAATGAATATTTTCGTCGAACTACTTTGCAATTAGAAGAAAAGTGTGGTACGAATTATGTTTTTCTCATATAAAACAAACAATTGCTTTTTTTCTTCTTTACTTAAGATGTCGATGAATTACTTGCTACACCTATTCTTACGCATGATCATGTTGATTTGAAATTTAAACGTACAAAACAATTAACTGATAGAACATGCTTTGTTTTAAAGATACTCGTGAATGATCAACAAAATAAAGTAGACGAAAATCGAGTAAAATTATATATTTCTCTACTGATTGGAAATGGTATTTCCCATAGAATCTTTAATCTTTCCGTACTTGATGAAAAAGCTTATCTTGTTCAATGTAATAATGACATCGGTAAAGATTTTTTTGTTTTCTTCGACGACTTGACTTAAAAAGATTTTCATTGCAATAGATTTTGATCGAATTCGTCAACAATATGAAACACGACGGCAATTGCAAGGCAGAGATGTAACATTGATGCAAATACATGAATATGATACTGCTAGCGTTTATTATATTGATGAACATAAGACTATGAAATATGATGATCTGGAAAAAATTTTACAATCTGTTCGAAAATATGTTTTTACATTTCAATTAGTCAATGAATATTGTGCTGAAGTAGAATTTATAAATTCTGGTGGTAAGACGAAATTTGATGTGTACTAACTATTTAAGAACAGAATAAATAGATGATGCTTGATTTATTTTTAGCTTTGAAAGAATGGATGTCAGTCATTGAAAAAGTAAAAGATAAATATCATATAAATGTCGAACCAATTATTCAAGAGGTTGTCGATGGAAACTATACGGAACACAGCAGCAGCACAACGGAAAACATTCCATTTAGTTTTGATAAACAAAATTTAGTTTCGATTACACTTCGTTCCGATTGGTCGATGGTAGCTGCTCATCCTGTGTTTCAATTGGAATATAAAGATTATATACGTAGTTATTCATAATTTTCTTTTTTTCTTAATAGAATTTCTTGAATTTTAAGGTATGCAACTTGGTGGTGAAATTAATATCAATCAGAACGAAGTAACTTATACAGGAGACTTGCCACGTTTACCACGTGCTTCAAATAATACAGCTATTCTTGCGAATAAAACAAATAATTTCATGCAAACATTCAAATATCAAAAACTGCGAGATTTAAAACCACATCATGTTAATATTCTTCGAGCTAATTCCAATATTGTGGCATTTTCTTGTACAGAAAGAAATGATTATATGATTGCAGCAAAACCACAAGATCTATTTGAATTAAGGGGTAAACTTTTCCCGAAAACAAATCAAAATTTTCAAGCTGAACGTAGAAATCCACCAAGAAATTATCAACCGGATAACAGGTAAATCCCATTAGATATTAATTCAAACAGTTGAAACCACCAGCGCTTAAACCAATTAAATTTTTACAGAGTCATTTTTACAGTACTGATTTCATATTTATATTCATAGATCACTACCAGTGCCTCTTATGCAACTAGGAATAGTCGAACCGTATGTTGCCCATCGGCTTAACTTAGCATTTAAGTTCGTATTGATTTTCATTTAAGACCTAGTAGTACTCTTCCTGTTGCGAAACCAGCTAGTACTTCGTCTATTTTTCCTCTTACGAAAGCAGAAGAAATGAATATGTTTTTAATAAACAAATTTGAAGAACGTTTACAAGAACATTTAAAAGAAACATACAATGTGAATATAATCATTGAACGACACGCCGTTAATGATAAAGTAAAAGGCGAAAAGACTCGTATTCGTATTAAATTAACTGGCGAAATGAATGATGTAGACAGTGCACTTAATGATTTATCGAATTTATTTTCGTCATTACGCACACGAGAATTCAATGATCAAACTGGTAAGAAAATAATTGAGCTATTTGAAAAAATTATTTGTCCCTTCTTTTAAGATGGCAATTGGACAAAGATTGAAGAAGTAGTTGATCTTATTCAACATCATTTTGCATTAATTAATCTCCGTGCGATATGTCAAAGAATTTCACCAACACGTTTACATGTTTATTTTTTTGATGTAACAAATCCTCAATTTGGCATTGACGAGCAAAAAATAGATGATATAATTAATAATCAATTTAGTTTAGCCACGATAATTCATAATCAACAATTAGCATCAGTAAAATTTATTAAAGAATGGACAGATTTAGAAGAAAAAATTCGTAAACAAGATAATTATAAAAAAGACATTTGCTTCTCTAGAGAAACTGATTCGTTCTATTTGTTTGGCTTAACAAAATTAGTTAAAGAATTGCGGCAAGCGTTTGAACAGCTCAAAAATAAATATATTCCACAAGCATGCAAAATCAATCTTTCAGACAAACAGGTAGCTAAGTGCAATTATAAGTTTTACGGAATTTTCTATTTAATAAATTATTTCGTATCGAATTTCTTGTTTTATTTTAGCTCAATTTCCTCCGTTACGTAGCTAAAACTAATTTGAACAAAATTGAAAAACAATATAAAGGCGATGGATGTGATATTAGTTTAACGCGTCTTCAACAGCATGGTCATTTTCTTGCACCCGTTGATATGCATTCTAGAATTAAAGATGCTCTTGAAGCATTAGTACAAATCACTGAAACTAAATTTGAAATTAGGAGCAATGGTTTTGCAACACTTATTAATCAAGAACCCAAGCATCTATTCTCACTTGTTAAGGCAAAATGTTATCTTGTGCAAAACGTTCGAACACAACGTAGTCACATCTCAGTGCCAAAAGCTCAAGCGGCTGATCCTGAAGTTGTAGCACAAGCATCTCAAAATACTCGCAATGCAAATGCCACAAGCATCGATATTGGTAAATCAACAATTACGATTGCATCTGGTGATTTAACAGCGCAAAACGTAAGGCAATGAACTTTCTATTGATTTTGATTCAGACCTTTACACGTAGAGGAACTTTTATTATGAATTTTGTTTTTCATGAAGGTCGATGTCGTCGTTGTTTGTTCAACATCCGAAATACTTTGTCGAGCAATTATTACTGCAGCTGGTCCTCAAGTAAAAGCTGAATACAGTGCCTTACAAGCAGATGGGCAACAACATAAAGCGACATCGAATGGTTTACTACCATGCAAGAAAATTCTATTCATTCCATGGCGAGGAGATCAATCAGATTTGCCTTCTCTAAAGAAAACTCTTGGTAAATTTGTTTCTACGGCGATTAAATATGCATTTGAAAATGGACATACATCTCTGGGTTAGTTTTGCAGAAATTAGCAATCATTTCTATGTACGATTTATTTTAGCATTTCCAAGTGTTGGCTGTGGAAAATTAGGTTTCGATCCATCGACTATTGCTCAGCATATGATTGATGAAACCGAAGCACAGCTGATCAGTAATAAGAGTACGCTGAATGTATCTTTCATACTTGTACGAGAGCAACAAAATGTATACGATGCATTTGTTAAATATCTTAATACGATTCAAAGAAGTGTAATACAACAAAGTCCAAAATCGAATACTAATCAACATTTAAAGATCCCGTATGATGAAAAAAGTAAAAGATTACAACTTAATTTTCTTTCTGTTCAATTTTTTAATTTGATTTGTTTTTTAGTTATTGAAATAACATTAATTGGTTCGAATAATAATCAATTGGATCAATGTAAAAATGATATTTTAGAATTAGCCAATTCATGCCTATTTAAAACACGATTAACTGACAAACAGGATATGATGGATTGGCCACAGAATACAATAAATACATATTATGATCATTGTTTAACACAACATGTTGTACCTACACTTAATTTTAATACACTTTCAATTGAATTAGTCGGGCCAAAAGATGCGGTAAAATCATAGATAAACTCATTTTTTTACGTTTTAAATTTATTTAGGTTCGTGAAGCAGAAAAACATTTCTACGAATTAACAACTGAAACACTCAAGGAAGCACGTATACATGCTATATCACGTGGTATTATTTGGTCAGTTGAAGTCACACCGAATTCTGATACTTGGGAACAATATTCATTTAAATTGAATGGACTTATCGAAGATGCTTATTTGAAAAAACTTGTGCACGTATGTTGATAAAAAGGAATGGATGATTAAATAATAGCAAGAAACATTTTTCTTTCTCTATTCAAGTATGATTTTGTTAATGATAAACAAGAACGATGTCGGATAGTATTTTCTAAACTGGAAGAATCCCATGGAACCGATGTGCGACGTATACGGCGTAAAGTTGTAGATTCATTATTACCGGATGTAAGTCGATGAATATTAGCTTCATTGCCGATTGTTTATTAATTTTAGACATGGGAGCCTTCGGATCAAAATTGTAAAAGAGTTGTATTACAATCTTCATCAAAAGAATATCAAGATGTCTTGCAACAATTTAATGCTACTATGCGAGGTCAATATGCACAAATTATCAGAATTGAACGTATTCAAAATGAACGCTGGTTTAAGCAGGTATGAGATTTCTAGAAAAAATCTGGGGTTCGCCTGTCCGTGCGGAGAAGGAAAGAATATTTTTTTGTTTTAGTATGCTGCTCATCGTGATGATTTTAAACAGCGTTATAAAACATTAGACGAACGATCACTTTTTCATGGTTGCGATGGTACTGCAGCTAATCAAATCGTTCAGGAATGCTTTAATCGTGCATTTGCTGGTGTTCACGGTATGATATTAATTTCAAAGACTATCTAAAATAAGAAATCATATTTTCCAGGTGTCGTATACGGCTGTGGTGTATATTTCCATTCCCATGCAAGTTATAGTCATTCATATGCAAAACCGGACGGCTCAGGACAGCGAACGATGTTCATAGCGCGTGTTCTGATCGGTAAAACCTGCCGTGGTAATCAAGGAATGAAAACACCACCATCCGGTCACGATACAACTACGGATGGACAGCATATTTTTGTTGTATATCATGATGCCGGTGCCTATGCTGATCATCTTATTACATACCAATAGGACACGTGCAATCATTTTAGAGTATTCGTTTCTTTGTTTTTAAGAAGAATTTGTAAGAAAATTAATAATTTTTTGTTTTTGTAATTAGTAAAATGTTCTGTTCAACTCAGAATAAAGTTACTATCCTTGAAAGGATAACTCTTTTTGAAAGTCTCAATTCGTACTCGAACAATCATGATGAATAGTAGTGTTCTTTGGTGACATCTGTCAATAGCTTCTTATTGGTTCACTTACGAAACTATTTCTCAACTTTTTTTAGTTATTTCGTTCGTTGCATGAACTAACAGTTTTATTTGTGTTTCCTCGCTTTTTAGCTTGGCAGTGTTTCCGCAATGCCCAAATACTATTGTGATTATTGTGATACATATTTAACACACGATTCACCATCTGTTCGTAAAACTCATTGTCAAGGTAGAAAACATAAAGAAAATGTTCGTGATTATTATCAAAAATGGATGGAAGAACAAGCACAAAAATTAGTACGATTTTTTTTTCTAATTTATTTCATAAGTTCTTCTGTCTTTTTTTTTCTTATTAGATCGATCAAACAACAGCTGTATATAAATCTGGAAAATTAGGCAATCCACCTTTCCCAATGGGTGGACCGCGTCTCATCAATCCAACTATGCCACCACCACGACCAGGCATGCCAGCTATTGTTTCGCCATGGCCATTCGGTCCCTTACCGCCACGAATGCCACCTAATCCAGCTGTCATGGCCGCTATGATGGCAATGCGACCACCACTTGGTGTCTTGCCTCCTGGAATACCACCGCCACCAACTGTTATTCCAAAACCTTCTAATGAATGACACGATCGACGTTTAGAGTGAATATAACTTTTTGTACTTTCGATTATAAGTCTATGTGAACTAGTAAAAATATGTCACTCTTAACATATTTGCTCGAAAAATCTTTCCAGAATTTTGATCACTGACTCTGTCTATTTTCGGGATTCATAATAGTTTAAATAATGACATACATGAAATGAAAATTCATCTCTATACAAAAAGAATATATTTTCCTTGCATATAACTACTACATGTTAATTTGAAGTTTTAAAATATGATTGACGTCTGTTTGCTTTCGAATTTGTGTGAAGGATAAACGAAATTGACTTTCAAGGTTTTCTCATTATGAATTGATTTTTCTCGTAAAGATGAAGTTCTTTATGAGAAACATTAAATGCAATAAGCTTCATCATGTAGTTTGAAAACGGTAACTACAGATGTTCTTTATAGTCCGGTGGTGGTGATTGATTGTGATAGTTTTCTGCATAAATTGGTGGTAAATCATGTGTTCGTATAATTAATGGTTGGATGGACATAGTATCTAGATCATCGATATTATCTATTTGAAGAAGAACTGTTCCTGAATGATCTATTATTTCACTGTGCATCGGATTAATTTGACATTGTCTTAGATAAGACTGTAAAAGTCGAATGAGTGTATAGAGAAGAAAACTCACACAGGCAACATAGCATCCGATGAAGAAATAAAAGAAGAAAAGATAATTATAATTATTTTCAGTCGATCTTGAAGGTTCATATAAAAAAGGCATAGCAGAGAAAGAAAAAAAAACAGAAATGTGAATGAATAATAAGATCGATGGCGCTTTATATTATATTTAAAATTTTCAAATTAACATCAATAGTAGTAACATGATATTTTGTTTTTTCTGATATATATATTTATACATAATATAAAACTGATTAAATCATGAATGCGGATTATATTGAATGTTAATCACCTTTACTTTCGATAGGACATTTTACCAATAATTCTCTTTCAGAGTCGACAATGATTAAATATCATCACAACACAATTATCCAGGCAAATAGGACTCTTGTTTCTTTTTTTTCTGCGCCAAGCCATTTCCCATTGAATAGGTAATTCTTTTCATTGATTGCCCTTCGGCATATATATATATATATATTTAGTTTTGAATAAATAATACTATTGGTACAGCAATGAGCCAACTCTCAAAAAGAGCACAACTTGAACAATATCATGTCAATAAATACAATTTCAAATTTAAGTAATGTCGTAAATAGTGCAATCGAAAGACAAGTCAGGTATATAAAATCTTAAGTTTTTCGTTTATAGTTACGAAAACATTCTGTTTTTTTAATAGGCTAAGAATAAAATATAAGGTACTACTACTTTACTCCCCCTCCCCCCTATTAACAGATGAATGAATGTGGATTAGTTTATTTCGTATTAAGAAAAATTTTACTTACTTTAACAAAAATATGTTCTCGTCGAGACCAACATCAGACGATGAATTGGCAACTTATTTTTATTCGCCCCCTCCTCGCTTTTTCCCTTCGTTTCGCTGTTTTTTGCGTGTTCGGCTTCTCGTTTTTTTTGCTTTCATTCGGCACTTTCTTCTTTTCGCTGTCTCTACCCTATTCACCTTACCTATTCATTCTCATATTATCGCAAACGTCATCTTTTATCAACAAGCAAGCAAGACTTCCGTTATTTTCATCTAACAATTTTACGATCATTTTAAAGTACCTCACAATACAACAATAGAATGGCACGCGCTCACATAAGTCCACTAATTAAAGCTCAGGTGAATTTTCAATACAAAAATAAATATCATAAATCACCTTTTCTGTCTCATGCGTTTCATTTGTTGCATATTTAAAGCTCGAGAAATTAAACTCTTCTGGTATTGATATTAGTTCTGGACATCGATCAATATATTCGTCTTCGCCTATCATCATTCCAAAGAAGCCGCCTCGTTCGAATGTAAGCACGTACTATTTGTCTCAAATAATAGATCCTATTTGAAAAAGCGTGTGTATATATATATATATATATATATATATATAGAACACAGAGAACGAGCGAGAACGAAAGAAAAAAGAAGTACGATGATATGATGACTAATGTAATTCTTGTTGGTATTTCCTTTTTAAACTTTTTTTTTATTAGGCATCATCATCACAAAGCTCTTCATCGTACACATCAATAGCTGATCAAATGTGCTCATCGGTTGTAAGTATATATTTACTTAATTGTTTTTTTCTCGTACGAAAACAAATGTTACCTTTTTTGTTTTTGTTTTCAGGAAACATCATTACAATTACAAAGAGAATCAGATAATGGTAAAATAATTGACATTTTATATTCGAATATTGACTATATTAATTTAGTGTCAAGTCATTTACTGTCTACATTATCATCTCCCTATCAAAAATTAGAACATTCAGCCGCACGAGATCGAATCGCAGTAAAAAATAAACGAAAACTACCAGCCAAATATCGGGTACGCAATGATTTTACAATGATATGGATATATATTTATTTATTTATTTCGTTTATAGTTGAGTAGTCTAAGAGAAATTGATGATAATCAAGCGAACTTATTTTCAACAGAATACGATGATGATCAAGACATTTTTCCATTGCGAATTGAAGTAAAATATTCGAAGATAACGAGGTTAAAATAATATTCAAAGTTTTCTTTCCTATTAGTCAAAAGCTCAATCACAATCTGTCATTAATCTTTCGGATTTGGATAAAGCGCACAATTATTTGCGAAAATCTTCTCGTATTCGTGATCATTCTGCTGATAATATAATTTCATCGAAGTCGACAGTTCCATCTTATGTTTCATCTACTCAACGAGTGACAAGTTTCAAACGTCCACAAGACATCAATCAGACAACATTTTTTAACCGATCCTTGTTTACAATAAAGACTCATGAAGAGCACGAAGAGGAAGAAAACAAACATGAATCAATATTACAAGATACGAATGCAAATAATTCAAGTTCATCACAACTAATCACATCTTCATCATCGCCAGAACATATTTATGATAATTCAAGTATATTTACTTATCATAAAACAAACATTACACCTGGTATAACATTAAACGAAGAAGATTCATCAACAAATAACATTGTAAAAACACGAGAACGCCGTACGTCAGCGACTAATCGTTTAAGGCCGGTTACGATGCACATAACGACAAATAATGATAAACAAATAAATGAATTTGAAAATGTTTTTAATCAAATAAAAAGTCAAGGTTTACATAGAAAAGTTCAACATAAGGAGGAAACAGTATATGCGTCAGTTCCACACCAAAAACTTTCATCACGTCCATCATCCATGTTTATAGAAGAAACACCTACGATGTTTCCCAATGAAAACGAACCCATGTTTTCAGTTGTTAGTTCAGCAAATAAAACAATCGAAACGTTACAACTACCAAATCGACAAAAATCACCAGGTCGTACAAGCTTATCGCCGAATAATAAGCTGATTACAGACGCTCATAAAGCAGCACCATCATGGGTTGATATTGCAAAACAAAAACAAAGCAAATTGTAAGCTTTGTCATGACTATCAACAACTGATACTATGTTTTTTTTCTGTCTCTAGTAGTCAATCGGGATTCATCGAAAAAAACCATCAAGAAGAACCCGAGCATCAACCAATATCCACGATAGTTCCTAAGAAACAAAGTGCCACTATTTCATCTGACATACATGAACGAGTGAAAGAAAGCAGCTCTGATGATACTCACTCCATTAGAAAATCAACTTCTAATCCTACTGCTACACGACGATCATCACCACGAATAATACAACCGACTATACATGCAATGGAACGAGTATGTTATAATTCGTTTCATTGTCTTTTAATTATTATTTTATTTATTTCTAGGATTCGATACGAGCATTAAAAGCCAATAATCCAAATCGAATAAACAATCTAATTCAACTTTTCGACAAATAAATTTTTCTACTGTTTTTTTTCTTTCTTCTGTAAAATTAAATATATTATTGTAATATATTTCGAAATCAAATCTTAAAATAAATTATCGTTTTTAGATATATTTTAATGAATAGTTCAGGTAGTTCTAGTCAAGATATAGCTGATCCTCAGTTAGCAGCATTTATTGAACAAGAAAATCAAAAGCAACGTTTTCAATCAATCGTACATGCATTGGCGGAAAAATGTTGGGAGATATGTTCACTAAGTACACCATCAAGACTTGATGGTCGAAGTGAAACATGTCTTCACAATTGTGTTGAACGTTTTATTGACTCCAGTAATTATATTATTAATAAAATTGGCCAAGAAGGTGCTCCAGCTAGTACAAGTGCGCATACAAAAATGAATTTAGTACATCAACAGATTTTTCATTAGGTGCACCTGATATGGGTCTTCGTGCACCGGAATTTTTCACCGACAGTGATTCAACATCGTCTTCAAGTCAACAAGAGAAAAAGAGTAATTGGACATTTTAGCAGATTGACTTTTATCTTGGTTTTGTTATTATATGTTATTTTTTTTACTTTAACAATGTTAAATTTTAAATAAAAATTATTCCTGAATTGAATTTTCAGATAAAGAAAAATTATGGTCGAATCAATAATTGGCATTCGTGGAAAAGATTTCGTTCTTTTAGCTCAAGATGCTAATACAACAAAATACGGTATACTTAATATGAAATTCGATACGAATCGTTTATTTAAATTAAGCGAACATTGTGCTATGCTTGCAGGTAAGATTACGCTAAAATGAAATTCAGTAGAAATCATCGATTTATTTTTAAAGCTGGTGAGCCTGGTGATGCAGTTCAATTTTCTGAATATGTTGGTAAAAATATTCAATTATATAAAATGATTAACGGCATTGAATTATCGCCGTATGCATGTGCAAATTTTACACGACACGAAATGGCAACTTCGCTTCGTTCGCGGAATTCATTCTTAGCTAATCTTATCGTTGCTGGTTATTCAACAAATGAACACGATCAACAACGTGCACAACTCTATGCCATTGATTATTTAGGTGCTATGGTCACATCAAATGTTGTTGCACATGGGTTTTGCCAATTTTTTGCATTAGCCATTGGTGATCGTTTATGGAAAGAAGATTTAACTGTTCAGGAAGCATTAGCAATGTTACAAACTATTGTCAATGAAATGGGTAAACGTATGGCTGCATATCCACATTGTGTATTTGTACGAATTATCGACGCAAAAGGTATACGTGTACTCGATAATATGTATCCACAAAAAATTATTGTCACGAAACCAAGTGAACTGGAATTACAAACAAGTGCTGATATGATGGATATTCATTCTTAGTTGAATTATGTCTGTTTTTTTTATTATTATAATGAAGATATAAAACATAAAACACACCCATCATACTATGTTTTGTTGTTGTTCATAAAAAAAGACTTTGCCTGCGGATTTTTATATATCAAGCCAATCAAAACATAAGTAGAAACGATAAGATTGTTTGCCGTGCCATCAGAAGTAACTCCTAATGATATTGTCAGAGTGTATTGCAGAATTATGTTTGAATAGTCCTTTGTAGACAGAGAAAAAAACAGAATACTCTGACCGTATTATTGGTTCGTTTTTTAGATCACGATAACTATGTCATCACTTGATTCTCAATTGTATGAGTGGTGGTTATACGAAGAAGCATCTCTCGAACGTGATAAACGTAATGTTGATGTATTCTGCCATCATCGGCGTGTACAACTTATTTTACTTGATACATGGAGACATATTTCACAGTTCGTTGCTTCATGTTCTATTTCCGTTAAATTTTGTTCTTAAAAACTAGAGTTCCTATGCAAGCTATGAACAAATTAGCTGATCAATCGATTGAATCCTATTGGACTACAAGACCCTTTAATAAAAATGCTTTTAAACAAACTGATGAAACTCATCAAAGTAAGACTTGAAACAAATATTATTTTCAGCATTTTTTAAAATTCTTTAGTTACTTTTTCATCTTGTATTAATTGGTCTCGAATAAGTGATGCAAATATACGTCAGAAAATGGTATGCTATCTTTATTTCAGTTGTTTCTATTGATTAAACGGCTTATTCTTACAGATGAATGACAAAGCTCGACCCCTGTTCAAAGGTCATAGTGATGGACGAAATCCTTTATGTGGTCAAATAAATTTACTTTCGATAAAAACACCAAAAAATTCATCAGTCATTGACAATCAACCACAAACATTAAACAAAGTAAGAAATCGAAACAAAGATCATCTTACTAAACTTTCATCTGTTGCAATAGAAGCGTCCAGCTCCAGCATGTTTTTCTGATGATACCATGGATACAAGTACTAATCATCATTATCGACCACCATTTGGTAAACAACAATCACAACAGCAACCACAAGCTCCACAAGAAAGTTTATCATTTCGTACAGCACGTGACCAATTGGAAATCGAGGAAGCACGTACGAAAGGGAATGTTGGCGGTGGTGTTGTAAAGAAATCTCTTGGTATGCATTCATCAGCCAAGTAAGTTCAATTCCCAGAAAAAGAAAAGTATTTAAACTCTTTGCAATAGACGTTCAATATACAATCGTTATGTTGATCCGACGGCTGTACGACAACCACAAGGAGATTCAAATCGACAAGTGATGCCACCACCTCCACCTCCAACACCTGTCTTACAAAACAATCAATCAAATAATGCTGATTCTTCAACTAATAAACTAGAAGAAAGTGGTGGTGCAAAACATATTGATCCTAAATTAATCGAAATGATTACGAGCGAAGTAATATGCTTTAATAATAAGATGATAGTAACTCAACCAGTCTTGGTTGATATTGTATAGATTATGGAACTTAATTTAACAACAACATGGACTGATATTGCTGGTTTAACTGATGCTAAACGATCCATAACAGAAATTGTTGTTTGGCCCATGCAACGACCTGATATCTTTACAGGTTTAAGAAGACCACCTAAAGGTTTACTTCTATTTGGTCCACCAGGTACAGGAAAAACACTTATCGGTAAATGTATTGCAAGTCAATCGAAAGCAACATTTTTTTGTGTATCATCATCATCATTGACTTCAAAATGGCATGGTGAAAGTGAAAAATTAGTTCGAGCATTGTTTGCAGTAGCTCGTTCACGACAACCAGCTGTGATTTTCATTGATGAAGTAGATTCATTACTGCAAGAACGATCAGAAAACGAAGATGAAAGTACACGTCGTATTAAAACAGAATTTCTTGTACAGATTGTAAGAGTAAACTTTTATATTTTTAATATATTTGTCACACGTTCGATTTTCAAGGATGGAGCAAGTACCCAAGGTGAAGAACGTCTTCTATTAATTGGTGCTACTAACCGGTAGATTTTTGAAAATATTTCCTTTTGTTTTTGTTATTACAATTTATATATTTAGACCACAGGAACTTGATTCAGCAGCTCGTCGACGTTTTGTTAAACGTATTTATATTCCATTACCTGATTTATCAGCTCGACAAGCTATCATATCAAATCTATTGAAGGATCAAAAGCATACTTTAGTCGATAGTGACATGGCACATATATGTACACTTGCAGATGGATTCAGTGGTGCTGATATGCATAGTCTTTGTCATGATGCAGCTTTAGGGCCTATTCGAGATATACATGATATTGAATTACTCTCTAGTGAAGAAGTAAATAGTTTCTGGTTTACTGATATGAAAGTTTTTTCGTTTTATCTATTAAAATAGGTACGTGGTATTTCAGTTGAAGATTTTCTTAAATCACTTAAAGCGATTCGACCAAGCGTTTCTGAAAGTGATTTAAAACAATATGAAGGTAAAGTATTTTTTAGTGAAGACTAACGCTCATTCTATTTTGATATAGATTGGAATAAAACTTATGGTTCTATGTGATGTTATCTTAATAAATGTTAGTTTCTTTTTTTATGCAAATATGATGTCAGATATATATACTTTATGAAAAATTTTTTTTAAGCACAGTCAAATATATACTTGATAGTAACAAAAAAGTTACGTTTTTTATTTTTCTTTCAATATCAATTTTTGGCTTTCAAATTTATTTTTATGAGCAAAATATCGTAGATTCTGTTTTGTTAAACACATGCAGGACATTGAACGAAAGGATTGTTGATGAGCGCTGGATTTTTAGCACATAGACGACAATTCTCTTTGATATGGTTACAACCAACACCACCTTGAGCACATTTTGAATCATAGTACATTCCGAGACCAGCTGCGGCATCACCTGGTGAAGTCAATGATGTACATGGACTACCGAGAGGCAATTTACATTCATCACCAGTTGTTATTGGTGAACCTGATGAGGTACTTGATCCTGGGTCCGCTGTTGTCGTGGATAAAGTTCCTGTACCATTATTGGGTCGTGTAGCAGTCCAATACTAGAATAAATTCTCTCGCTTAAAACTAGAACAGGAAAGGTAAATGATGCTTACGAGAGCCCAAGTACGTGTAAGGCCATCGTCAAGTGGTGCTGTAAGTAATTGATTAAATGCTTCACCACGATTAATTATAGCATAGTTCGTGTATAGAATACTTTTCCATCCGCCTACTGCACCTCCAACGATTTTACCGACGATGGTTGTCCATTCTTCTTCGACAAATTTCGGAAGGCGTACTTCTTCAGTAATTGGTGTAGATGGAATCATTCTAGTATGAAAAAGAAAATTCTATTTTATCATATATATATTTATAAACTACTCTTGGATTTCAATAGGGTTCAACACAATTACTTACTGGATACCATGAATAAATTCTGGATTAGCACCAAACCATGTTGCATAATCAGCTTTATTTTCAAAAAAGATACCTGTAACTTTATTAGCAATAAATTCTTTTGGCATAATTTTATTATCACTATCCATGAGAAAATATGTTTGAATTGTACGTTTAGCAATTGTTAACATCAATCGACCAAGACTTTCGAGTGTAGACGATTTAGTTGCTAAACCCCATAAAGCAAGACCATAATGATAATTTATTTCTTCTGATGTTGATTCTTGATCTTTACCATCGGCTGATTCAAATAAACCCTAGAGAAATAAATCATAGACAATAGAATAAGAACTATCTCATTTACTTGACTCCAACTATGTCCTGAATACCAGTCGAAATAACGAAATTGTGGAAAACTTTTATCTTGTGTTGAAGGATTATTTGCATCACGTATTAATGATTCAACCCAATTTTTCATTTTAGGTATATAACTTGGATCAAGATGTGCAATTAATGCACCTGTTTGAATGAAATATCCCCAATGATAATGATGATCATTATAATATGAATTGCCGAAATCAGCTAATTCTTGTTGTGGCCTAAAATAAGGATAGACTTAAAATTATGTTAAATAAAAAGCAAAAGCGAAATACGAACGCTAAACCAGCTGCTGAAATAAGACCTGACCATGTTGTATCGTATCGTAATGCATTTGCATTTTTTCCAGTTATAAGAACATCAAAACCATTTTCTAATGTTTTTATACATTGCTCTAGTAAAGTTGTTTCTTTATAATAATCAGCTAGTAAACATAATAGTGCATATTTATGAAATGCTTTTCCTGTAAAATAATAATCGGTTACACCTAAATTAACTCCAGCTGTAATATCTTTTTTTAATTGTTCTACAATATAATCTTCATATTGAGGAGCAGGTGGACGTGGCGCAAGAAAACCCATCGTGGATAATGAATCTTCTGCCATTATCCAAACATTTCCAGTATATGCAACCATTGGACCTTTGCTTGGTGATAGAGTTTGGATTGGTGTTGCTTGTGCACTACTTGTTGATATTACTTGTCGATGATGTGGAAGTGTATAATGAAGAAGAGCTACTGTAGGATCACCTTTATGTTCCCAAAGAAATGTATAGGTACCTTTGATTCCATTTACATCAGCTTTCAATTGACATCCAACGGGGTAAACGGAAGCATGAGAATCAAGCAAAGAATTAGCATATGCATCTGATTGTTTCTTGGTTAAACGAAGAACATTAGTGATAGGTTGTGTACCAAACAATTCATTACCACGTAATTCGAATGTAACATCACCATTGAGTGCATACAAGAGCCATGTTTGACCATTATTTAATTTGATTTCAAAACGTTTCCCAGTTATTACTCCCGATGTTTGACTATTGACAGAGAGTACTGCATGAACAGTGGAGATCTTTGGTGTCGCTGATTTGTATTCAAATGTAACATAAGCCATACCACGTACTATGGGCATCGTTATTGACGCTTGAGAACTCGGTTGTGACATTTTTAATGTAACAGAAAAACCAGGATCATCGACATCGATAATTTGAAAATTTTGCGATGAGAATTCTGTTGCTGTAACTTGCATATTTTTTAATATAACATTAATAAAATATTTAACTCGTGTACTATCAATACGTGGTCCCAATGCGAATTCTTCTGTACACGATATTGAAACACCATAAGGCGCTGCACCATTCATCATAAGTACAAATGGATGTGTAATGATTGGATTAGTGCCAGGACCAAGAAGTGGATTCGTATAAAATTTATTTGTATGTAATGCTTGTTTATTAGTTAAATTAAGTCGTTGTGGTTGACGTGGATGAACAATATTTGGATAAAATGAAGAATCAGGTACAACGGTTGATATAGGTGCCAATACATCAACACTTCTTACAGTGCTAATTGCCATAAAAAGTATTAGACTTCGAAAAGGAATCATAGTTGTGATAATCATTAAACTTAGAACAATGTCAATGATTGAAATATTGATATGATTTGATTTTTTATAGTGCTTTGATATTTGTTAAGGATTAATTGCGTATAAGCCTGTCGAATCACCAAAAACAATAATAAATTTGATACTTTCCATGCTAAATAGCGATGTTTCATTTCGTACGGAGTGAGCTGCTGTTAGAAAGAACGAATGTAATTAATTTTGAATAAGATGAAATTATTTATGTTGTTTGTCATCTCTGCTTTGCAGATCAGTGATTTTTATCTTTTTTAGAGTTAGGAAATTTTAGAAGACGCCTTTTGTTTTGTGTATATCTCGAAAGAGAATAAAATATTTTTTTTAATCACAATAATAGAATGTGGGCTTAAAAAGTATAAATATAGAATCAAAGTCCATATTGCGATATTAATGCATAAGAAAACGTTCTTTTATCAACTATTACAATATTTTACCAGTGTCTTGATATAGTGCAATGTATGTTGCCGTAATAAACATAAAACCTCTGCTTAATGGTGTGTGGTGTGTGGATGTGGGTGTTGTATCTTAATCAAAACACCCACCCACGCACACAAGTTATAGATGCGCATGTGCATATCTTGAGAGTATGGATGTGAGTGTGGGATATCTCTTCTCTGTACCTATATCTAACACCCACACCCACCATCGCCCCGAATGTATTATTATTTCACTTTACTCTCCGTTCATTTCAGTTAATTACTGGTCAAAGTTAATAAATACACGATGAATTCGTGCGATTCGCTTGTAGAGGAAAACAAGGATGAATCGGCATCCGCGTTACTTAAATGGGTGAATCAGCAAGCTTCAGTAGTTATTTGGATTTTTTCTGGTTTCGAGCTAGAAGACAATGCACCATTATATATTAATTTATATGCCATGTTCGATAGTGTTCAAACTTACCAAGACACACAAATTGAGGATTGTGCCGCATTTGTTGGAGCATATAAGGATGCGGAATTTGTTGTTATTGTTTCCACGAAATATGCCTTAAGGATCATACCCCACATTCATGATTTGAAACAATTACATTCAATTTATATTTATGATTTATCTAATAACATAGACAGCATTGTACTCTACTCTTACGCCAAAGTAAGGTGGCATAGTATAATTTTCTAAGGTTGAAATGATATCCTTCTATTCTCTTTATAGACATTAGGTGTTTATAAAACTGTCGATCACTTGTTTCATCAATTAGCAGACGATATCAACCATAAAAAATTCAGCGTACCGTTAGGCGATCAAGGTACAATCATTATATATTAAGATGTAGATTTTTGGTCTAAAATTTTTAGTAAAGTTTTGATCCAATTAGAGTATAACCAGGAAAAAGCACTGAAAACATTGGTTGATAAATGCAGATCGTGTTACAGTGATAATCAAACAATATTGAAGCATCTTGAAGAGTTGGAATGTTCTTATGATAGAAATAAAGCAATTTACTGGTATACACGAGATTCTTTTCTTTTCCGATTGGTCAAAAAAGCTCTGAGAACTATGAATATTGAAGTCATATTTAATTGTCATTTTATTATCGTCGATATTTGCAAGGCATCAGAAGAAGAACATGAAAAATTAATCAACGAACAAAATTATTCTTTATCACTCACATCAATGGTACAATATTGTCGTGGACAACGCATGAGTCGCAATGAATTAGATCAACTAAAGCTATCTATCGATGAATTCGTTATTGTGAAAAGTTTTTTATCAGCTACAGTGGATCCTTAAAAGGTGTGTGGGTTATCAATTTGAGTCTAGTTGATGAAAATGACCAACGTCTACTTAATAAACTTAATGAAATTGGCTATCAGCATTTATCTGAGTTGTCTTTTGGTACTCAAATTATTGAAGTCGGAAATTTGATTCTTCGACAATGGTCTCAAATGTTGAGTTTATTATATTACAATAATTTGTTGCGTGAACATTCAATTGATGATCCAACATATGAGTGTGCCTGTTATGCTGGCCTTGGCTGGAATGTATTTCTTGAAGGAAATTATGAGCTGGCGCTTGCTGATCATGCGAAAGCACTCGAGCGATACCCTTCTTGTACCGATAAAAGAAGTGAAGGACTGAAGGCCACTATTCTCAATCAGATCGGAAAAATCTATGAAGCATTAGGTTCATTTGAATTGGCACTTCAATCTTACCCAAAAGCAGTACTTGACATAGATTCCTCTCGTCTAGATCAGTATGATGCTTTTAGTGGATTTCCGATTATTCCAAGTAGGAAAATCGCGAAGTGGCATCGAGTTCAAAGTAATTTTGATGTTGCCATGGAAATTTACAACAAAATAGTGGAAACTAAAAATATAAATCATTTTAATGGTCGAATGTCCTTTTACCGTGAAATAGCACGGGCAAGCAATCATGTACTATATGAAAACGATGATTTTGCGCACATAATACAATGGACAATTTTCAACTATTTTAGTAGTGCACACTATCTTCCGGAGTATTATAATGAAATTGCTCAAGAATACTATTTTATTGGAAATACTATTCGCGAGTATAACAAAAGTTTCACTTTCGATACAAATAGTCTAGCATTGAAATGCTATCGTAAATGTGTTGATATTTTGTCCCATTATGCGCCAAAAGAGCATAGGAGCATTGCAGAATGCTACGATTCCATAGCAAAAAGCTATGTCACAATAGGCAGTAATGAGTTTCATTCAGCAGCGATTGAACATTATGAAAAAGCGCTCTTAAACATACCAAGCGACACGTCGTGTGCTTGGTTGATTAACCTTCTTAAGACATATTCTAAAAGCATAGCCGATCTCTATATTGTGGCTGAGCAGTTTAATTTGGCTATATGCCATTTATTAAAAGCTATAGAATATGAAAGAAGATATTTGCATATTACAATGAACATAAATATGCCCTATTATGCACATGCAGCTGTGACCACAAATAAAAATATATCCAAGTGTTACAACAAAGTTGTAGACATATATGAAATTCTTGCTTCTAGATATCGCACTAAATCGTTGACTGATTTGGAAACTACGAAAGATCGTCACGATTCTTTTTTTCTTACACTCATTTCTGAACCAACTGCTTCAATTTTAGAATCATTTTATAAAAGAATTGCCAATATTTATTGCCTGTACAAGCGGCTACGAGAGCAACAACAATTTTTAAGTGTTTGCACGATCACGAGCTTGCATTATATTATCATGACATACATGGCCATACATGTGACAAATGTCATACATATTATGAATCTGGAGTGCCGTCGTGGCGATGTGAAGAACACGATTCTGATAAATATTAACGATGTCTTGCCGATTAAATACGTTACTTCGACTGTAAACTACTTGAAAGTCAAAAAGATTTTCATTATCGTTAGGTTCGTGTTGGTTTTCCTTTTATTCCTTTTTATCCTCCTTTTTAAAAACAAAAAACAAACAAAAAGTAACAAAAGATGTGCTTTTCTTCCTATCTTCCTATTTCCTTCCGTCAATTTCTCCTATTTAATATCATAGAGAGACACAGAGGGCCTTCTTTTGTCAGTAGATGTCTCTATTGAATGAAAGCAGTCGTTAAATGTCTCTTGTGCAAGAGTATAGACTTTTCACGACAAAAAGTAACGAGAAAGAATTTGCATCAATCAATTTTTTCTTGTCTTAACAATAATGATTCATGCAATAAAACGCACGCTGTGTTATTGAGAATAAGAGATAAGGCGACTATCAAGTGTAAGGTGTAGACGTGTTTTTCGTGAGAGACTTTTTCAAAAAAAAGTTACTCACGACACGTTTCATTCTTATTATAGATTCATCAGGTAAGTTTAGCATCTAATTACTGCATATCGATCAAATGACAAATTTCATAAAAGTTCTATGAAAGCCAGAGACCATCAACGAACTTCCAATAGAATTTTGAAACTGGTTACTATAATCTAAGAAGAAAAGATTATAGACATCAGAGTATTTCTCGACGAAGTTTGTTTTTCAAGAGAGAAACTTTAGAAGGATATGCACTGCAACCATGATATCGATATTTCATCTCAGTAAAGATTCAATTCAGAATCAGACAAAAATACTGAGTTGAACGTAATGATTTCTGGAGTTTCTAAAGACTTTGATTTCGTGACTAGTTTTGGTCATATACTAGATTAAAGACTTATGAAAAAATAAAAATGAACTAAATCAGTCACTGTAGAACTAGATGCATTTCACTATGATAACATACGTGATCAGTACTAAAAATGACTCCTCCAGATCCAGTTTTTCATAGTGTATCTAACCATATCAGTTTTACGAAATACATGGAACGTAAAGTATTTTTTAAGTTGAAAAAACTTGTCTGATTCTCATACAGAAAAACCTACTATTACAAAATTAGATCTTTTGGGACACTAACACAGTCTTTTTTTCTCTCGAAAAACTTCAAGAAAAAACTAATCAAACACATATTATCACCCAGTTCGACGAGTTCTATCTAACCATGGATACAACGAGAAGAACAAACTTTGTTTGAATTTTGCATTATTGGTACCTTGGAGTCTTTCATATAATAGCTTTCCTCAAAATTTGTCAATACTCAGCTTCGTCATTATTTCTCTTCTATCACTAGCATTCATTAATCTCTCTAAACTTACCAGTTACTCGTCTGGGTAGTAACATCGTTTTTGTTTCCTTCTGTAAGTGAGATATGACTATTTTATTTAAACTTCTATTGATAAATCGTAGAGGAAAACAGAGACAGTTATCCTGACCCCTTTTGCATAATGTTTTCTTCTTATCATTGCGAAACTTTCCCTCGCTTGTTTCTTCTTTCTCAGCAGTCACAATTCCTCGATAGAGTTATGACTCAAAAAAACGTTGTTTACAGAGGCTTACATGTAGAGCCAATGTGAACAATATCAAGGATATTCCCATGAGGAATCAGATACATACGTCCCAAAGTAAGCATACCGCAAATTATCTTGATCATTCACATATAGCTTTAATACCATTCGCAAAGCAGTGATATTAATAGAAAACAATGTGGATGCTCTTTATTCACTGAGGGTATGCGTTCGATCATTATAGTAGATAAAAAACGTAATAACTGTCCAATTTACTCACTTTAACCGAAATTATTCTAGAAATTATTCATGTATAGTTAATTTTCAAACTAACATCAAAGTATATATTCATAAGATTTTCTTTCTTTGCACTGCAAGAATGTCACTTTTACGTAGCAAACAAAAGTTATTAAGGGTAGTTTTCTTGACAAAAAGTGCATGGCTGCTCCGCTTCTAAATACGGTGATGCATGCAAATAGAATTCTTTTTTTTCGATTAGTATAAGGGTTCAACTAAATAATATCACTTTTTATATTTTGATGATAGTTTTGAGTGTTTCATGACTGAGAATTAGTTTTGTTTAGAAAATGACTTGTAAAACGATTCGTTGATTCTCCATGAATCCGATCGTATCGGCATAAAAAATAAAATTCAATAAATTTGATTGAAACTAATATTTGAATTGAGCCGAAACCTAAAAATAGAACCATAAGGATTTGATATCCAAGAAAGTAATCAAGTTCGATTATGGCTTCAATGTTGGCAAACCTCTTTTGCATTCATCACAAGAGTTAAGTCTCCCATATTGAAGAGTAGATATTTCCCTCGATTCCGGTCTTATAAAAACTTTCGTATAGTGATCAATATTCAGATTTTGACAATTCATTTAAATTAACTTCGTTAATAATAGGAAAACGATAATTGAATGGCACAACAAATATCATCTACAAGCAATAATCGCTTTGTAACCAATCATTTCAAAGAAAGTTACACAGTGACCCGCAACTCAATATATCGCTACCACCACTGGCCTGTAGTGTCATTAGAAGAAGCTGTGCAAAGTCTTATTTCATTTGTACCTCACGTCGAGAGTTATGCTAATGAAGCTAAGGAACACTGCAGACAAAAGACTCCACTGTCACGAAACGAATCGGCTGCAATCTATCTGTACACAATGCCAAAACCTTTCTACGACGAACTCAACAAGGCACTTCGAGCTGAGAATCCACATGCACTGGAACCGTGGTTTCCATTCTTGAAATTATTCAGTACCGCTCTTGGAAAACTACCATCGTGCCCAGCCACAGTGTGGCGAGGCGTTGCAAGCAATAATAATATAAATTTCACGGAACATGATATGCACACTTGGTGGAGTGTGAATTCATGCACTTCCTATCTCAATGTTGCTGGAATGTTTGCAGGCGTCATAGGGATTCTGTTTTGCATTGATTCAATTTATGGAAAAGACATTACGAAGTACTCAGCAAACCAAAGCGAAGAAGAAGTCATTCTTATGCCTGGAACGATCTTGCGCGTCAAATGCATGCGATCCGAACCGACTGGTCTTTCCATCGTGCATTTGGAAGAATGGTAAGTCTTTATGAAACATTCTGTAGTGTTTGAAAAGTTGATGCGTTAGTTATGAAGCATTTTAAAGATCTAAGCCATAACTTGAGCGTAGATGAAGTCTCATTGATGTGAAATTGACACTATTTGGAATCGAGAACTTTTCCAATTTCTACGGTTTCAGCGAATGAAATATACTAATTACATAGTATATTCTATTTCGAAGTGATGCAAGAGTTATAGTGTACTCGAACATAAATTGCTCTCAAAATTAAGTTACATTGGTAGAGTTAGAACTACTCTGCTCGCCAGGTCACAGTTAATTTTAAAGTACCAGCCTGGCCTGATTCGTTTATTTTATATTGCACCAGGTTAAGATAGTAGATCGGTTCAAATGTATTGATCCAGTGTGAGTGTGGGCGTGAGTGCGGCCACACCCACACCCTTATTGTTATTAAAATATAAATAAATAACTGAAACCAGAATGATATTTTAATGTGACGTTGTGAGAATTATTGGATTTGAAACGTTAGACACACCCATCCGCCTAATGACAGCTCTGTTTGTAGTCACGATGCAAGCACATTGGTTTTACAATAGCTTTTAGTAGATCTGTAGGAAAGTGACACTCTCAAAACTACGGGTGATACTTAAAAGGCTTCGATTATATAAAAGATGATACACAAGAAGCATGTTGCATCTCTGATCGATAATAGAGTTTTAGAAGGAATCATATAAATGAAATAGTATACTAACTGTGGCATTATTAGGGGCTAAACTATTTTCACAATATTTGCTTGTGTAAAAAGAAACAACTATACAAGTTTAATACCTATCTTCATACAAGAAGTTCGTAATTGCGCAATCAATTTTCCCTTCAAATGAAACAATAATTTTGTTAGTAAAATTTTAGGCATCTGATTATCAAAACCATAGATTGGTAACTTTTCTACGAGTTTTTAATGTTATACTCTCAAAATACAACTAAAATACATTCTAAAATTGAGTAAAGGATAGCACAAAAATTAGACAAAGAATATTATCATGCCGCATGTTCTAGTTCATCATCTAACGAAAATAGCATTTTTCTACGATTTCACATAAACATGCGACTTTATGATTGGATTTGAAATATCTGCGATTCAGTACATTTCTAATCGAGTGTCTAATAGGTTGTCACGCTCTTAATCGAAATTTGATTTGTTAGATGACAATGATGAGATCATTTTTCTTCAAATCGTTGTCTTTTCTATTATTGAAAACTACTACGAACTAAAAACATGAATGAGTATAGTTAATACTATAAGATTCTGATATTTCAGTGCTAGAATCCCGCAAGGAAAACATGTCATGTTGTCTTACACTTCGATCAATCAAGATATTGTGTCGAAAATCACGGATATTCTCAAAGGTGAAAATATTCCAGTGTGGTTTGATAGTAACGGTGATATAAAAACGGATATATATGAAAGGTATTTCTATCAAACAGTACTACTAAATCGATTTAAACTGTATATTGATTGTGTTTCCTACGTAGTCTGGCTAATGGAGTTGAAAATGCTGTAGCTGTCTGCTGTTTTCTGACATTGGACTATGAACAATCCTTGAGCTGCCAAAGTGAATTACAATATGCACAAAAGCGACAGAAACCAATCATTCCATGTATGCTCACTACTGCAACTGCTTGGAAGCCTTCTGATTGGTTAGAACAAATAACCCGGGGACTCGTGTTCGTCGATTTTCACAATGTATCTGAATCTAATATCGATTACAAGGTGATAGACTTAATTAATGGAATAGAGGAGCAAATCACAGCAACATCACATCGACGAATACAACCAATCGAAGAGCCAAGTTATCTGTTTGAATTGATTAAGTGGCATTACAAACAAAACAGTCGTATAGAACGCTTAATAAATCCAGCTGAGTCTTTTCTGATTGAAGAAAGTTACATTAATTTGGCTATAGTAGATTCGAAAGAACAACAGGGAAAAGAAAAGAAGCTTCGTGATGCTAACCAACAAGAGACAATAATGGGGACCTTTGAAGATATTTACGGTGTCAAAACGCCAATAAATGTCAAAGATATTTTCAACACATGCAAGGAATCTGAAAGGAAAGTACTGGTGTTTGGTCGAGCTGGAATCGGTAAGACCACCTTCTGTCGCTATGTTTCTCATCAATGGGCAAAGGTTGCTCTTTGGCCAGAATATAATTTGGTTGTTTTAATTAGCTTACGCTCTTTAACCGAGAATCGTTATTCTCCGTTGCCATCAGGCAAAAGTTACTCTTTAGTCGATATTGTGGCGAAGGAATGTTTTAGTCATGATCTTTCTGAAAAAGATAAAACTCTTCTCATAGAGCAATTAAATAAAAGAACAGTATTATGACTTCTGGATGGGTACGATGAAATCGTGCAAAATGTACCATCACACCTACAACGTGTATTCGAACAGTTACTCAACACTCCACATCACATTGTGACATCTCGTCCATACTTCAATACTTTGTCTCGCACTGTACGAGTTGAGATTGTTGGATTCACCGATGAAAATATTAGCAAATATGTAAAGGTATTCTTCAATCAGCTGCGCGATAAATTTCCCAATGCATTATTTGAAGGCCAAAAAATGTTAAAGTTCTTAAGGCTCAATCCCAGAATTTGGGGTATTGCGCATAGTCCAGTGAATTTGGAACTGATTTGCAGTATTTGGAGTGAAACGGATTGGTCAGAAACAACAAACCTGACCATGACCACACTGTACGAAAACATGACAGTCTGGCTTTGTCGACGATATTTAGCTAGGAAAAGTACTTCGATCCAAATCAGTAGAATGGAAGTGTACGAAAAGTGTCGTCCGGAACTAACTTTCTTAGAAACGCTAGCATTTGAAGGAATGACCAGCAACACCATAATTTTACGAAAAGAATTGCTCCAGAAAGTGATGCACGATATTGGCTGCTTGTCGGATATCTATTCCGATGCACTGCATATTGGCATTTTGAAATCGTTCGATAATGGACCAACTGGGAATCAAATTCAATTAGAAAAAAATCACTATTTCGTTCATCTCAGTTTCCAAGAATTCTTTGCAGCACAACATTTGGTGAGACTTCTCAACAGCACTACACGTGACATTGCAATTCAGTTTATTGAAACTCATAAGTATGAGAAACGTCTACAGCTAGTATTTATCATTGCATCTGGTCTTCTCATTCAATCCGAAAACACAAAATCAATTCATACATTTTGGGACGCCATTTTCGGTGACCCACATGATCTCGTGGGTATTCGACACATGCAGCTTGTGACAGTGTGCCTTGACGAAACTCAATGTGACTGCGCGGTGCCACATCGCAGCCAGTCCATATCATTACTACTCAATTGGATAAGGTTCGCCTTCAGCCAAAACAACTTCAAACTGCAGGAAACAATTGCAATGACAATAAATTCATGCAGCAAAATACAGAATTTACCAGAAGTACAGATTGAGTTCGCGTCTCTCTTGAAAACCGAACCGGAATACCACAAATCACATATAGCAACCTTCATTGGCAACCTGAATATCACCGACCCACACAACAAATTAATTGAAACATTGTTACTTCAACTTCAACACAATGATGAAAAGATTAGAGCAACGGTATGCTATCCTCTTGGGAAGATCGGTGAACAAGCAGGAAAGAGCCAGGTGATTGATCGGTTGCTGGTGGCACTAGGTGATCCGGATGACCAGGTTCGCTTGAGTGCATGTAGTGCTCTTGGAGCGATGGGCGAAAAAGCAGCAACGAGCCAGGTGATTGATCGGCTGGTGGTGATACTTGGCTATCAGAACAAGAAGGTTCGATGGGGTGCATCTAGTGTTCTTCGAGCGATGGGCGAAAAAGCAGCAACGAGCGAGGTGATTGATTGGTTGTTGGTGGCATTAGATGATCAGAATGTGTGGGTTAGTGCGAATGCATGCCGTGCTCTTCAGACGATGGGCAAAACAGCTGCAACGAGTCTGGTGATTGATCGTTTGGTGGTGGCTCTTGGTGATCTTGTTCAAGGTATTCGAAGTACCGATCTGAAGGGCGCTAATACGCTTTTAGAACTGTTTTCGTATCTCCTGCAGTGGGGTGCTGATGGCGACGCGAGGTTGCAGAAATCGAATATTTATGATGGGATTGATGGAATGTCCTTGAAACTTTTTCAGTTACTGATTTATACGCATGATTGTCGTTTGCTTCCCATATTCGTGGAGTGTTGCCTAATGGAGGAAATAGCGGTCATGGTGTTTGGTGACAGGGTGATTATGCATTTCGAGTGGGTGGCAGTGGAGACACGAATCAGAAACTCGGAGGTGCTATGGAAGCTTTGCAATGCTTTTTATGATTTCGGTTTAAAAGTGCTTGATTGCCGCCCACGGAATAGTTGAGTACCATGGTGAAAACGAGAATTGGCGTGTTCTTGACGAAGCTCAATTTGAATAATGTAGGTTATTTACTTATTCGGATATTTGCGTTTTGATTACCCAGGATTTTTTGCCTGGATAAGGATATTGGTGTGAGTCGTGTGTGAATGTGAGGTATGGTTTTTCGATGATATTTGGGTGTGAAGTGCAAACACTATGTATTGTATTTCTTAATTACTGGAATGATCAAGTGGCATGTGTTAATGCCCAATGAACTGAAGACCAGTTCAAAATACAAACGAATTTATATTCTATTGTGTGTGTGCGCGCATTTATTAAAGTGAATTCAAGCTCCATGCAATGCCTTCCAACTTCTGTTCAGACAGTCATCAGTAGGTAGGTTTTAAAAATATGAAATAGGAGAATAGTCGAAATCACTATTCGCGTTCTTTTGGATATTGGGAAGTGTATTGGATAACAAATGGTGAAGATTAATCTTATTTTAATTTAATAGGGAGGTCTACATACGTAGAATGGTAATTAGAAATCTCAGTTCTTTGCTATAAGTAAGAGTTCTATGTATCTTCCGAATAGAATAAATTTCAGTCGATTGTAGTGTATCTTATTCGTTGGATCTGGCAACTGATGATACTTTCAACGCGTGTACTTATCTAAGAACCAGTTAACGATGCTATTCATCAAATGTCTGTAAGCTTCTCTTTTATCTCGATTCATATGTAAAATAGAATAGTGCTAGCATTTTCCATTATTTGAAGAAGTTATACAGATTTGTTAAAATTCAACTGATTCCTTTATGATAATTCGTTAATCTGATAGACTATTCTGGATAAGTATGTTATGTTTATTCCTTTTTTTTATTAAGTGGCCTTTGAAAACTTACAACAATGAAATGAAAAATACAACATATGGTACAGGTTTTCCATTGCTATTTTTAAGCTTTCAACTGAATCAGGACTATTCTATTTTGTAGGCATTGATCGCTAATCGAACTTTCACAGTTCACGACAGGGAACTTTCATATGCATAATAATTGGTTCACCATTTGTAAAGTTGTAGTGTTATTTCTTTTTGGAATTCGATGTATCAAATAAATAGCGTGGATACATTATGCTCTCATTCCATTCTTTCATTTTTGAATAGTGTCGGCAATATGAGTGCACCGTTTTGCGTAATATTCAATTGCTTTTCTCGTCGAGTCGGGTCGGTTGATGCCATAATCTTCTATGTCAACTGTAATAACAGTTCGTATTTATGTCCGTTAGTACGTTTATTGTGTTATTATAATAAAAGAATTGATGTCACTGCTATGGAATGAATATCCAGCAAGTTTCATTCCATAGCAGTGACATATCGATAAGAATACGTTCTGAATTGAAGCAATTTATATCAGAACATATTCTTGCGGCATGTAACAAAACATCATACGACATAGTACAATAAATATTACGAGGATGATTTGATGTCAGTGATTGGACAAGTACTAGTACGACAAGTACAAGTACAAATACTTGTTACTTAGCTAATTTACTTTGGGCTTGTACCTAAGTACTATGTACGGTAGTACATTGTACTCAGTACTTCGCTATAGTTTCATGTTTTGCTTCTATTATTATTTTCTAAGTTAATATTTACTATTTTCATGATTTATTGACATATGTAGGACTGAAAAACAATAGAAGGAAATATTGATATTACAATATCTTATATTGATCGACATAAAATCGATATAGTTTCAATTATTCTAAGTAATACTGAATAGAGATATACGAGTGAGAGGGAAAAAATAAACTGTATAGAAAAAAAGAAAGTTTATTGGTGTAATATAAACAATGGGTACTTCGATCTCTAGGGCATCGTCATAACACTGGCTATTTGTTATTCATGAAACAGTCTAATATCTGAAAATAAATTCTATTCGAATCTTCATCAATACTCGATGGGTCCTGAACAATTGAAACCATATTTAGATTTTTTCTCAATTGACAAAATAGAGTCAATGACTATTGTAAATTGTGCAGTCAAAATTATTCGATTCGATCTACTTTTCAGAAGCTATTCCATGCAATTTGATTTGATAAAATCATCGACTAATCTTAATTCGACTTCATTTTATCTACTCTACTCTTGAAAAATCATAATTCGGTTGCTTGGAAAAGAAAACATCATTGAATTTAATGTCAGAAAATTATCAAAAGGATATTATCGAATTCGATTCGATGAACTTTTCAAAAGGAATCTCATTTCATTCTATTCAAATCTACTATGTAAATATTTTCGTTTGGGTTTTTTTTCAAACAAATTCTTAAAAATCTGTACTTGATCCGATTTCGATTTATTTTGAAAAGAAATTGCATTCCATTTTATCCGATGGAATCGTCGAATAATCTTCAGTCGATTTCATTCTACCTATTGTCAAAAGATGTTAAATATTGTTTTTTTAAATTCATAAAAGTTTCTATCTAGATCGATTGGATCAATTTGATCTGACTGAGCCGAACAAATTTTATAATTTATTATATTAGTCCATCTCGATCTATGCAATGTAGTAGCGAAATCTCTTGATTTATAAGTAGGAAAACTTACCAGTTGTGCCGATATTGATGTCACGCTTCGATGATTCTCCTTCATTCTCTTTCTGTTCTCTTTGCATTGTTCTAATATCTCTCTCCCCTGTCTCTCTTCTATCTCTCTCCTATATATACGTGTGTTACGTATGAAGTTGTGACACTCTGGAGATGTCAGATGACACAATACACCATCATGCCGACGGGTATAGGCGACACTCTCTAGTTTTGTCGTTACACTCTGGATAACTTGAAGTAGCCTAATAAACATCTTTGCCGAGAGTGGCACAAGCTACTCTTATCTACTTGATCATTACACCAGTACATCTGGAAACATTTCACCAGTTTTATCTACATATAGTTCAAGAGCATGTTTATGCTAAAACAAAAAAGTGACTGTGAAGAAAAATGGAAACAGATAACTTATCGAAAAGGTGCGTTTATGCGGTTTTGAATATTTAAGTCTAAAGTCGTTCAAATCTAAATTTATTCGTACTCATTTAAGCACGTCAATTTTTTACTGGAATTCTTTTTTTTTATTTCAAAGGTATTAAATAAATAAAAAACGATTAACATCTCGTAAATTATCTTCAATTCAACGAAATAATAGCAAAAATTTGTTTTGTTTTAAATGACTTACGATATTGATATTAGAAGTAAGACGATCTATTTTCACGCATAACTTTTGCATTAGTTGATCGAGTTTAGATGAATTTGAGATTAATTTTTCATTTAATTGGTTTACTCCATTATCGATATCTTGAAGAACATTTGATTTCGTTTTTGTTATTCATGGTAATATTTTCATCATCTGAATTAATAGAAGTAAGATAATCGTAGTCATATTATTTCAACTCACTTGAAGCTGTTGAAACACGTTTTGTTAAAGGTTCACCGATGGTGCTCTTTCTCTTCTTTGATGATGATTCAAATAATGTTTTTTTCGTTCGTTTACGACAATCAAAAAATGAATTTTCTTTATTATCACTATCTGACACTTGTTTAATAAAATAAAATAATGTAAGTTATTATATAAAACAAAGAAAACAAAATTTTTACAATAGGGAAAATATCTCATCGAATCTATAGCGATTAAACTAAATTAATATTATATACAAATGGCACAAAACATCTTCATTTATAAGTTGTTTGTAGTGATAAATACTATACAACTACAATCGTTTTGATGAAGAAATGAAAATGATTCATTTCGAATATATAAGATGCATTACTTCTCAAAGACTGCACTTGTCGTACTGATAGAGCGAACAAAAATTGTATATACCAGATTATCACAATTAAAATCTTCATTGAAAAATAAAGAATTAAGCATAACCTTGAACATCTATTTTTTCTGGTGTTTGTGCACATGTTGAAATTAGTGGTGACGATGAAGTTGACGATGACAAACGTGTTCGATCAATTTTTGAAGATCTTATATTTGTCATATATGAATTAATGATATTGATTGCATCTTGAATTGAATCATCTGAAAGAATGAAAAACTATGGCATGCATCAGTTTGAAACATGAAGCGAGAATATTACCATCATTTTGGTCATCGACTTGATCTTGTGATAAACGAATTAATCGAGCATATTCACTATTACAATCTTCAAGGGAATCTGAAAGACAATAAGCGACAATAAAATAAATAAATAAATAAATAAATATGAAAGTAGACCATGAAAGACTATTTTGGCTTGTAAAAGTTTATTATGAATAAGAATAAATGTAACATCATCATTTATATTTTTAAGACTTGATCGGGCAACTATTTGGTACGAATTAGTTTCTTCACATAAAAGTAAGTAATGAGTTAAAGATGGTGTATGCTGTGTTGGAGTAAAAACTCGACGTGGAAACGTTTGTCGATGTGATGTCATTACTATACGAAGATGTTGAATGCGCAAATGACGAAAAATACTAAAACTTAGAGTATATATAGCAGAGGCGTGCACAGGACTTAATTTTTTCTCCTGCCCTTGTCTGTCCTGTTGGATACCTTGGTCCTGGCGGGCTGCAGGACCGGACAGGACAACAGGACCGCCCTGCCCTGTGCAGGTTTCTGATTTACACATCGTTTAACGATACGATCATCTCCTGTTTTGATGCTTGATTATTCCTACATTGACATAATGGTGTAAGCTCCTTTTGTTCTACATCTTGTACAAAAAAAAACAACTAGCTGAGTGTGCCAAATTATATTCATGTGCATTTTATCTCTGTTTTTCTGGGCTTTGTATAAACTGTGTCGTTTGACTATCTTTCGTATGTTCATATTTATTCGATAAATTATGCAAAAATTTTGTTTGTATCACCGTGTGATCGTTATCTACGTTTTAATGGAGTTTTGAAACAAAATATCTCGTTGCATTTAGTTCATATTAGTAAATATATCTACACTTTCTTTATACAAGACAAATTTGACAAAAAGTA